ATCACCAAGGAAAATACAGTAGCCACCAGTAGAACGACGGTCGTCAGGATCACCGGCATAGTCCGCATCAGCATAGGCAGTGAGGTGAAGTGGACTCGGTTTGTAAACAATGCCATGAGTCGGAGTCGCTTTAAGGTAACGGAGGATGCGTTTAACAGCAACCCAATGGACTGTGGTCGGCTATGCATGAACTGGCAAACCTGATTGACAACAAAGGCGATATCAGGACGAGTGAAAAGAAGATATTGCAAGGCCCCCACAACACTTCGAAATTCGGTAAGATCAGACAATGGTTCTCCATCTGATAAGCTGAGGCGTCGGCCAGGAATAGCGGGGGCCGAAATAGGCTTGCTGTCCAGCATATTAGTACGTTTAAGAAGATCAGTGATATATTTTGCTTGAGTAAGATGAAGGCCGACAGCAGTACGATGAACTTCCATTCCTAAGAAGTAATGAAGGGGGCCAAGATCCTTCATGGAAAAAAGAACGCCCAGCTGTTGAATTAAGCGAGCAATATGATCCGTGCTATTACCAGTTATAAGGATGTCATCCACGTATATTAACAGGTAAATGACGACTGAGCCATCAAAGAAAGTAAACAATGAAGAGTCAGCATGAGAAGAAACAAACCCCAAATGTTGGGAAAAGCATTGGAACCATGCACGAGGAGCCTGTTTAAGGCCATATAGAGACCGTTGTAATTTGCACACATGAGTGGGACGTTGAGAATCAACAAAACCTGGCGGTTGGCGCATATAGACATCTTCATTTAGAGAACCATGAAGGAAAGCGTTTTGGACATCGAGTTGCCGAAGCGGCCAATTGTAGTGAATAGCAATGGAAAAAATCAACCGAATGGTGGCATGATTGACGACGGGGCTGAACGTCTCACCATAGTCCAAATCTGCTTGTTGATGAAACCCATTGGCGACTAACCGTGCTTTGTATCGTTCGATGGAACCATCAGAGCGCCGCTTGATTTTGTAGACCCATTTGTTGGGGAGAACGTTCATAGTGTGGTGGAATGGGACCAAGGTCCAGGTACCATTGTGTTGTAATGCAGTAAACTCGTCAGCCATGGCTTTGCACCATTCAGTGTGTTTGTGTGCCTGACTAAAACAGGTAGGCTCAACCAAATCATCAGAAACAGTAGTAACAAAAGCATATTTGGGATTAGGTTTTCGAACACCAACTTTGCTGCGAGTAACCATGGAGTGAGACAGATCACTTTCCTCGGGAGTAGATGAAACGGATGCAGCGGGGGCAACAGGTGGTAGGTTTGCTCCAAGGGCTGACGGAGGGGTAGGAGTTATGGGGAAAGCAGGCTAGGGGGAAGAAGTTGTGGGGGATAAAGGAGAGGCAGATGTGTGCGGCGGGAAACGGGTAGGGCGAGAGGGCCTACGAGTATAAACTTGAAGGGGGCGTTGGGTAGAGGGTGATGGTAGGGTTGAGGGAATGGAAGATGGAGGCTGCGGGATGGAGGGCGTGGGGGCACTAGGAGATGGTGATGGTCCGATGGTGAGTACTGGATCCGCAGACGAGGAAAGTGATGAAGGCGATGGAACAATGGACTCTTTATATGGAAAGGAGTGCTCATCAAACACGACATGGCGAGACAGAAAGACACGACCTGTAGAAGGATCTAAGCAGCGATAACCAAGATGGTTTAAAGAATAACCCAAGAAAACACAGCGTTTGGAACGAAATTGCAGTTTGTTAGTATTATAAGGACGTAAATACGGAAAACAGGCACACCCAAAAACTTTAAAAAACTGATATTGAGGAGGTTTGTGAAACAGTTTTTCAAACGGGGAGATATTGTGTAAAAGGCGAGTGGGTAAACGGTTAATAATGTAATTGGAAGTATGAAAGGATTCGGTCCAAAAGGGAGTAGACAGACCGGATTGAGCTAAGAGAGTAAGGCCAGTTTCAACGATGTGGCGGTGTTTACGTTCCGCCACACCATTTTGTTCCGGATGATGAGGGCAGGTAAGACGATGTAAGATGCCATGGTGATTTAAGAATGTTCGAAAACTATGATTAACAAATTCACCGCCACCATCCGTTTGGAAAGCTTTAATCTTAACACTGAACATGTTTTCAACGAGGTTTTTAAAAGTGACGAAAGTAGAGAAAACATCAGATTTTAATCGGAGTGGATACAACCAAGTATAACGAGAATAATCGTCCACAAAAATCACATAATACTTATAACCAGAAATGGAGAGAGAGGGAGACATCCAAACATCACAGTGAATTAATTCTAAAGGTGAAGAAGCCATGGAAGAAGATAAAGAAAAAGGCAATTTATGACTTTTACCCAAAGGACAAAAATTGACAAAACTTACTAGAAACTGAGCCTTTAATTGGCAATTTATTTGCAGACACTAAATGTTGTAAAATGGAAAACGAAACATGACCTAACCTAGAATGCCACAAGGCATCCGAGACACGTTCACCAACACAAGCAAAAACACCAGAAGGTTGATGAGAGGAATGGGAAGGATAGAGTCCATTGTTACTTGGGCCTTGGAAAAGGATCTTCCCCGTCCGCGAATCCTGCACACGATAAAAACGAGGGTGGATAGTAAAGAAACAGTCATTATCAGCAGCAAAACGATTTAAAGAGATGATATTAGTGGAAGCATGAGGGCAGTAGAGAGTATTCCGTAACCGAAAAGAAGCTAGTTTAGTGTGAAGAAACGAATCACCAATTTTGGAGATGTGCAAACCTGAACCACCATGAACACCACGAATTTGATCAGTTCCATGATACTCACGAGGATTAGAAAGCTGACCCACATCATTGGTTATGTGGGAATTGGCGCCAGAGTCAAAGAGCCATGGGTGACCAGGCGAGGCAGGAGGAGCAGGAGGTACACCACGAGACTGAGGTGCAGCCGCATAAGCCTGAAGACGAGACGAAGAAACCCTGCCTTCATAGGACATGTTGAGACGATTGTAACAATCAATAGCGGAGTGACCAGAACGCTGACAAATCTGGCACTGAATACGACCAGATGGGGAGAACGCAGGTGCATGAGAGAAGCCACCTGAAGCAGGAGGAGGGCCGAGGATGCCATTGGAGGAAGCAAGCTGTCCACGTGAGAATGCGGCTGGCGAAGAAGAATAGGAAAAATCACCATTGTAGTTGCGAAAGGAACCAGAACCACGAGCGTAGCCGCCACCACGGCCACCCCGAAACGTACCGCCACGGCCGTGAGATGTACCACAGCCACCACGCACAGCAGCAAACGCAGAAGTACCGACGTCAGAGGGAAGAGAGAAAGCAGTGTGACGTTGTTCGGCGCTAAGAAGTAAAGATTCCAAGGCAGTGTAAGTGATGGGAGTATCACGGGCTTGGGCAGAAGCAACGGTGGTCTCAAACTGAGGACCAACCTTACTCATAATAATGGCAACCAAGTCTGACTCAGAAACTGGGGCTCCAGAGAGGGCAAGGTTGTCGGCAAGAATATTCACCCTGTCGAGATAGTCGGCAATAGAGAGATCACCACGGGAGGTATTCATCAATTCTGTCCGCATTTGAATAATACGGTTCTGAGAGGTAGAGGCATAGCGTTCCTGAAGAGACGACCAAGCAGAGGCCGAATCAGTTTTGTTGACAATAGTAGCAAGGACCTTGGGAGTAAGAGAACTAGTAATCCAAGATAGGATCATCTGATCAGTTTGGATCCAGTCAAGATACGACGGATTAACGGTGTCGGTAATGGTACCTTTGTCATCAGAAAGAAAAGCAGAAGGGCATTTATGTTCACCAGTAACAAAGGAGAGAAGGTTGCGGCTGCGCAGCAAGGGAAGAAACTGAGCACGCCATAGGGGATAGTTGTTGCGATCAAGTTTTATGGTAAGAAAATTCGTAACTGAGGGAGCAGCAGCAGTAAAGGTAGAAGAAGAGGACGCCATACTGGGAAGAGAACGGAGAGAGAAAAAAAATAAAAAATTAAACAATGAACCGTTGTCGTAAGACGCTGGCTCGTGATACCATGAAAGATTTGATTTCTGAAACTCAACTCAATGATCTGAGTGAGCCAATTAGTATTGATATATATAGCATTACAAAGTAGACATGTAGTAGAATACAGAAAGTTCAATTACAAGCAGTATCGGAAACAAACTACTAATCAAACTAGAACTAGGTTGCTGCTCAAGTATCTATATAGGACTAGGAATGAACATCCTGAGCGGAGAAGGATGGAACATCCTTGTTCTTGTGGGAGACTAGTTTATCAGGTCTTGGTCTGTTCACCTTGGGTGAAATCGCACAAAGTGTGCCCTTAAGCCCTCGGGATAGTAGGGTTTCCCCATCCACCATAGTTGGGTAGCTAATATAAAATTGATGTTCAGATTGGGGTTGGGTCTAACCCCAGCCCTGCAGACCAAGATATGCCTAACCTCGGCGTGCTGCCTGGTGTGGCATCTCACTCCACATTCACTTTTTGCATCCAATTTTTCCACTACATCTTGAGTTCAATCCATCCCCGCTTCCCTTTAACATAGAAAGTCACTTGTAATAATAATAACAAAACAATCATGTAATTTTTCAGCCGGCCATATACCCTATTTTATCATTAGGAGAGTCAAGATGAGAATTTAAGACCTCTTCTAACGTTGATGTTGTGTTTGGAATAAGGGGTTTACCAAGTATCTTAAAAAAAGAGACTAAATTTGTAAGAAACACCCCCACAACCTAGGCATTAGACAGAGATATTTGAAATCCCTTTTACTTGCAAAACCCTCGTCCAAACACACCATAACCTGCAATATTAAGTTATTAACTTATCAATGTGTTTCCATTTGTAACATATTCCAAGTTTCAAACAAATAGCAAAGTGACCAAGCAAGCAGAAATGTATTTCTGTTGCCATTTTTCTTCCAAACACTTGGAAATTGGGGAAGGAAAAGCTTTTTGCTAAAACTATTTCTCTACAGAACAAAATAGTTCATCTGGAAAGCATTGGGCAACTCTCCCAGACAGTACAATGGCGACTGTGAATCAGGTGGCAGATCACACTAGTTCAAAGAAACACAAAAACCAGATGAACACTAAACTGGAGAGCAGTTTGATTAAAAACATTCGCAGCAATCAAAACGCACACAACTTCGACTCGCATTAATGGACGTGTGTGGAGAGGCTAGTTAGAGATAACGCAATCATTTGTTGATAGCATATGTTCTGTGGTACATCCAAACCCAAGCTAAGTGTTGAATCATTGCTATCTAGCTGGTAAACAAATCCTAATGTAACCAAAAGCGTTTCTGAGTCATCCTATCTGCTAAAAACAGATCATAAACTGACATAATAACTTATTAGAGATAACCTCAATGCTTATATGTAGGTCATCATTTGAAGTGCTCCTTTCTTTTCATCTCGTCTACCATCGAATCAAAATCGGAACCATCCAGCAACGGCACGGCAGTTCGGGTTCAGCCAAGGGTCAATGCAAGGATCTTACTTCAAAGCCACCTCTGGAGTTTTTTCTTGTCCAAACGGGTTTTGAAGGAAAATTGGAGCTCATGTTGGGCTCCAAATATGCGCTGGCGTTTTATTAACCAAACAATTTCTTTTGCAAGTCATGCGTTTTTTATTTTAGAGGTATTTGTTGGCTTACCTCATGAACTTGTATAGAGCTGCTAATTTTCTTTTATAAACTTTAATTTTAATTAATTATTCTCTGAACTTTTGTAACTAGTCAATTTTCCTCCTGAACTCCCTAAATTTTTTAAATAGCCAATCTCCCCCACTAGCATTAGATTTTAAATTCTTCATCCAATTTTCCTTTCTTTTTGCCCCCATACGGTTGTCATGTGTTGTCCACGTAATCAAAATGGATGGAAAATTGAATGAAATTTTTTAAAATCTAATGTTAGTAGGAAAATTGATTATTTATAAAAGTTTAGGAAATAATTGGCTAAAATTAAAAGTTCAATGTGAAAATTGATTAATTATAAAAATTCAGAGAGTAATAAAGTGAAACTGTTTATTAGAAGGGCATTTATGTAATTCTATTTCACTGTAAAGAAAAGGAAGGGCAAAGGGTTTCAAACTTTGGAGAAAAGCCGCTTAAGGGTTTAGGAGAAGAAGAAGCCGGCACCGCCACGGTGGGAGCGCTGCCGAAATCACAGACCAAAATGTGGAGGAAAGCCATAGCAACAGCAGCAGCAACACGCTTCGGCGCACTTCACCACCCGTGGCGCACGATAGCACGCCCCCACTCAACCACCGCATCCCCCTCCGCCGCCGTCGACTCCGTTATCCTGCGCTCCCTCAAGGAACACTATCTCGATGTCCAGAAAATGAACCCTCCCCCAAAAATCAACCCTCCCTCGCCCTTCACAGTCGTCCAGGGCTCGCTCGACGGCAACGGCCCCGCTCTCAAGCGGATTTTCGGCCGGGAGGAGATCACCATATCGGTGATGCGAATGGAAAATATTATTCCTGGCGATGGCGGAGAAGACGACGATGCCGATGACACGAACCAGTTGTTCCTACACCTCGATGTTTCAAAGCCCGGGCAGAAGGAGTCTCTACATTTTCTTTGTGCCCTGTATCCGGATGCTTTGGGAATTCACTCTGTCTCATTGCGCAAAATCGCCGATTTATCGAGCTCTCGTGATGTTCTTTCCACGTATAATGGCCCTGTTTTTGAGTAAGATCTCTTCTCCTTCCTCCTCTTTTTTAATAAAATAAAAATTGGCAATATGCTAGTTAGGTTTAGGGTTTGGGGTTTTGGTACAATTTGCAATATATGTCATTGTTTGTGGTTGCATTTGAGTATAAAAGAGAAACAAACGAGGCAAATTGTCTTAAAAACCCGAGAGTAACTACAATTTTGTTGTGGGTAATGTTCTTTTGCTAGCAAGTTTGGGATTTTTAATTAATCGGGTGATTAGGTTAGTCTCAATGAATGGTCTTCCGTCTCATGGTATTTAAGAGAAATTGTGATATTTGAATGATAAGTTGATAGAATATACATTTGTTGACATGATTAGTTTCTAATCGGGGCCGGAATTATCAACCTTACATGCTTGAACTTGGCATAAAATGGAACTAGGAGCCAGACTTTGTAAGAATCTTACTCAAGTACTTGGGTTTCTTGTTCTATATCTTTTGTTTGATAGGATGTGGATGTGGCTTTGCTTAAAAAAAAGCATAAAATTGTGTATTCAGTAGCCTTTATAACGACAATGCTTTTCAATTATGTGGTAGCTGCCTAATAAGAAGACCAACTGGACCTGTAATTAATGCATGTAGAAATTTATGTAAGCGATATTTACAGAAGCAGGTTTAAGTTCCCAGCAAGAACGAACTATTTTGGTGTTGCTTGCTAGCGAGCTTACTTTTAATTTCCCTTTCTTTTTCCAGAAAGAAACAAATGTCCATTTGGATGTTATGTATGCATACTCAAGAGAAGCCATCTCTTTTGGTTATGTTCTGTAAAAGCAGCCCACCTGCTATCGATGCTAATTTTGAAATATAGATATGCTTTCCTTCCACACTGGGCAGGATGACTTTTTGATTCTGTCTGTGAATCTCCTTTCCTCTATTCCCTTTTAATTGAGAAGCGAAAGTTTTGGATACGAAGTAGTATCTATAAGTTAAAAACTGTGACCATTGAAATTTGATATAGATAGATACACTGAAAGAATAAAAAAGAAATAAAATAGAACAAGAGAATATCATAGATTTATTCATTTCAATAATCAGTGTATAGAATACATAAATTTTGTTTTCTCAACAAAATAAACAAGAATATATTAAATCTGTTATTAATACATTAATATTGCTGATCTTGGAAACATCTCTAGCTCAACGATGACTATATTTTTGTGAGTGGATAGTTGTTGTCTCTGGTTGTAATTCATGTTGAAAGTTATATTGGCTCAAGTTTAGTCCTTAAGCATATCGGCTCAAGCTTAGTCCTTAAGCATATCGGCTCAAGCTTAGTCCTTAAGCATATCAGCTCAAGTTTAGTCCTTAAGCATATTGGAAGTGATTTAGCCCTTGATTCTCATTTGTTTTGTTCAGTCCAGTGGCAAGAAAAAATAAGGGTGCGTGAAAATCATTTCCCTAAGCATATATGTTTAACAACTTCTTTCATTGTAGATTAGTATCCAACTATTCTAACCTATATTATATCGTTTATATACTTTTGATAGTGTGTCATTGCCATATGCTTTTGCTCCAACGATTCTAACCTATTATATTGTTTATATACTTTTGGTAGTGTCATTGCCATATGCTTTTGCTCCAACGATTCTAACTTATTATATTGTTTATATACTTCTGGTAGTGTGTCATTGCCATATGATTTTGCTGGAAATGATGTATCCCTCCTTGCTGCTCTGTAATGGGTCTGAGTTGCTGAATTTCTTTCTTCTTTTTTGTAAACTTTTTTTTTGGCTTTTTAGAAATTAAATCTGTCGTGTGCTCTGTTTTATGCATGAAAAACTGATGTATATTTGGGTTGAATTGTTCTCCAACTGACAGAGATCTTGATGAAACAATGAGGGATGCATTCCACAATTACCTAGAAGAGCGGGGTGTGAGTGAAAGTCTCTTTCCATTTCTTCGAGCATGGCTTTATGTCAAAGATCATCGTAATCTTTTGCGATGGTTCAAATCAGTGGGAACATTCATTAATGAAAACAAGAAGGTTAAGGATTCTTAGTTTCATTAGGAGACCAAGACAAATGTTTGCTTAGGAAAGAAAGACGGAAGTGGATTCTAGCAGTTTCAGTGCTGGTTCGATCTCAACGCTAATTGTCCATTTACGGTTTAATTAGTACAGATCAAGTTCTTCGGCGCTAGTTTTGTACGGGACCTGCTAATATATATGTTATAACTGTATCAAATTCATTTTCCCTTGTTCAGAATCTAATTCATGTTTGTTTGCATTTGCATATGTCGTTGCCACCATGTTTGTCAGTTGATTAGTATTGTGGTGATTGTCAGTTGATTAAGTATTTTGGTGAGACCTGTTCAGAAATAAAATTTTTAGTGTTTTTTTTTTTTGTGGGAACAATTCTCTTGATTTGTATTGTGGTGGTACCTAAGTCATATTTTCTAAAATGTTTTTATTTGGGTGGTGATTTTCATGCTCCCTAATTTCCCCTTCACACACTTTTTCAATTTTTACTATTTGTTTACTCTTTTTCGATGACACAGAGATGGAGGAGCAAACAAATATTAAAATATTTAAACGGTGAGTGCAAGGTAAAACAGGGTGCGTAAATACGAGGATCGTCGTTGTTAAAAGGTTGATAGGACATGAAGTGGGGCCCGCTTCTGTTTTGTCTCTTTATTTATTTATTTTTTTTTTTTTTTTAGAACTTTATTAAAAAGTTTCTTTTACTATTTATTTTAACGAAAAATCATATTCTTACACTAAAAAGTCAATCTGGTACTATTTATTTTATCCTTTATTTTGTTCTTATTGTTAAAACTCAAAGTTTTTAATTTTTTTTCATTAGTTTTTTTTGTTCCTTTATTCATACCCACTTCATTTTTAAATGTATTTAAAAGCATTTTCAAATGAGATGTCAAAAATAATAGGTCAAAATTATATTTGATGGCTGATGTGATAAATTGAATATAAGTGCTAAATCCCTTTTTTTACAATGCGTCAAATATGTATTTTATTATTTTATTGGCCCAGAGTTACATTAACAAATTAAAAATAATCAAAATTAATTTTAGTTTTTATTCTATTGGTTATTAATGAGAACATGAATTAAAAAATTAAATTAAAAATATTTGACTCCTTTGTTTGCTGTTAAAAAACTCCGCCGTGTAAGTTTATCTTACATTGCCGGTCCCAAGCCCGGATAAAGGAGGAGGGGGAGGGCGTCAGGTAGTCGACAGCCGGCACTCCATGATCACGTCGAATCCTTATGAAAATGAATCCAGAACGAAATCGCGCTAAAGCTAGGGCGTCACCCGTAAGTGGCGCGCTGTGTGGCCCGAGCACAGTGATAAGTGAGCAAGGGTCGCTGTATCTCCATCGGCACCCGGATGCAGTGTTAAATGAGCAAGGGGGCTATAGAAACTTCTTTTCGAACGACTCCACTCAAAGTTGTTTGGGAGCATATGCTCCTATCAACTTTACACGGGACACACAAAAGAAGTACTTTGATCCTATTAGACGGGGAAGGGTAAAGAAGCTAGGACAGAAGGGTAGAGTTCAAGAGAGCAAAATGCGTTTAGGAACGTGGAATATAGGAACCTTGACGGGAAAATCTATGGAAGTAGTAGAAGTTATGGTGAGGAGAAGGATAAATATTATGTGCCTACAAGAAACTAAGTGGGTTGGTCGTAAGGCAAAGGATCTAGAAAACTCAGGGTTTAAACTATGGTATTCGGGCACAAATAGAACGAGAAACGGTGTTAGCATCATCATGGACAAGACCTTGACACAAGATGTTGTAGATGTCAAGAGGGTAGGAGATAGAATCATGGCAATCAAGATTGTAATAGGACAAGAACTTATCAATGTGATTAGTGCGTACGCACCTCAAGTAGGGTTGGATACGAGTTCGAAGGAGAAATTTTGGGAAGACCTTGGAGACTTGGTGCAAGGAATTGCTCAGACGGAGAAGTTATTTATAGGAGGAGATTTAAATGGACACGTGGGCAGGGAGACAGGCAACTATGGAGGTTTTCATGGTGGCCATGGTTTTGGGGAGAGAAACGAGAATGGGGAAGCTATCTTGGATTTTGCAATGGCATATGATCTCTTCTTAGCCAACACCTTCTTTAAGAAGAGAGAAGAACATGTGATCACCTACAAGAGTGGGTCGTCAAAAACACAAATAGATTTTCTTCTAATGAGGAAAGGGGATCGTATAACTTGTAAGGATTGCAAAGTTATACCAGGAGAGAGCGTGGCTAATCAACATCGCTTGTTGGTGATGGATGTACATATCAAAAGAGTGAGAAAAAAGAACAAGACTTGGAAGTGCCCAAGGACTAGATGGTGGAATCTAAAAGAAGAAAAACAAGCCATTTTCAAAGAGAAAGTAATCACCCAGTGTGTGTGGGATAGAGAGGGGGAAGCTAACCAAATGTGGGATTCCATGGCTAGTTGTATCCGAAAAGTAGCAAAAGAGGTATTAGGAGAGTCCAAGGGCTTTGCCCCACACCAAAAGGAATCTTGGTGGTGGAATGAGGAGGTACAAACAAAGGTGAAGGCTAAGAAGGAATGTTGTAAAGTCTTATACAAGGATAGGACCGATGAAAATGGTGAAAGGTATAGAAAAGCGAAGCAAGAGGCGAAGAAAGCTGTGAGAGAAGCTAAGTTAGCGGCTTATGACGATATGTATAAGCGACTAGATACCAAAGAAGGAGAGTTGGATATCTATAAACTAGCTAGAGCAAGGGAAAAGAAGACAAGGGACCTAAACCAAGTGAGGTGCATCAAGGATGAGGATGGAAAGGTTCTTGCTACAGAGAACATGGTTAAAGACAGATGGAAAGGTTATTTTCATAATCTTTTCAATGAAGGACATGAAAGGAGTGCTTCTTTAGGGGAGTTGAGTAACTCAGAAGAGTGTAGAAACTACTCTTTTTATCGTAGAATCCGGAAGAAAGAAGTCGTTGTAGCTTTGAAGAAGATGAAGCATAGAAAAGCAGTAGGCCCAGACGATATACCAATCGAAGTGTGGAAAGTTTTGGGAGAGACAGGTATAACATGGCTCACTGACCTTTTCAATAGGATTTTGAAAACGAAAAAGATGCCAAATGAGTGGCGAATGAGCACTTTGGTGCCTATCTACAAGAATAAGGACGATGTACAAAATTGCATGAACTATAGGGGTATTAAGCTAATGAGCCATACAATGAAGCTTTGGGAGAGAGTCATTGAGCATAGATTGAGGCAAGAGACACGGGTTTCGGACAACAAATTCCGGTTCATACCAGGGCGCTCAACCATGGAGGCAATCTATCTCTTACGAAGATTGATGGAAAGATATAGAGATGGGAAAAAGGATTTACACATGGTCTTTATAGATTTGGAAAAAGCGTATGATAGGGTCCCAAGAGACATTCTTTGGAGGATTTTAGAGAAGAAAGGAGTACGAGTAGCATATATCCAAGCTATACAGGATATGTATGAAGGAGCAAAGACTGCCGTAAGAACTCATGAAGGACAAACCGAAAGCTTTCCCATAACTGTAGGATTACATCAAGGCTCATCCTTAAGTCCTTACCTTTTTGCGTTGGTAATGGATGAGTTAACAGGACATATTCAAGATGATATTCCTTGGTGTATGCTTTTCGCAGACGATATAGTGTTGATAGATGAAACTCAGGAAGGGGTAAATGCAAAGCTTAACCTTTAGAGAGAAGTGTTGGAATCTAAAGGTCTTCGCCTAAGCCGATCAAAGACAAAATATATGGAGTGCAAGTTCAGTGCAAATGGAGGCCAAAACGAGTTAGAGGTGAGGATCGGAGATCAAGAAAATACCAAAGAGCGACCGTTTTCGTTACCTAGGATCTATATCTTGCAAAAGAACGGAGAATTAGATGGAGATCTCAACCATAGAATACAAGCTGGATGGATGAAGTGGAAGAGTGCATCCGGCGTGTTATGTGACCGCCGTATGCCACTGAAGCTCAAGGAAAAATTTTATAGGACGGCAATAAGGCCGGCGATGCTGTATGGCACAGAATGTTGGGCGGTGAAGCATCAACACGTACACAAAATGGGTGTAGCGGAGATGAGGATGCTTCGTTGGATGTGTGGGCACACGAGAAAGGATAAGATTAGGAATGAGGATATCCGGGGTAAAGTAGGAGTAGCCGAAATTGAAGGAAAGATGAGAGAAAATCGGTTACGGTGGTTTGGACATGTGCAAAGAAGGCCAGGCCTACTGACGCTCCGATTAGAAGATGCGACTATAGGACAGAGGTTCAGGGCCGAAGGGGTAGAGGAAGACCTAGGAAAACTTTGGAAGAGACCCTAAGAAAAGACTTAGAGAGTACTTGGATCTAACGGAGGACATGACACAGGACAGAACACAATGGCGTTCTAAGATTCATATAGCCGATCCCACTCAGTGACTTGGATTTTTCCAAGTCTCCAACCGAGAAGTTTTCCTCACTCGGGAAATTAAGGGAACACTACCTCAACCTACATGCTCCACTCACAAAGCTTCAACATACAAGCTTCAACAAAAGAAAATTCAAAGAACTTAGCGAAGAAGGCTTTGGTGTATTTAACACAATACGTTGAAATGAAGGAAAGCTTATTTATTGATATCCCCGATAAGTTACAAATATGTACATATACTTGAGTCAAAATAAACAAACAAGAGGGAGCATTCACAAAGGTTGCTTAGGAGAAATCTCAGCAGTCGGTAGAGCCCCAGAAAGAGAAGGCACCGGAGGGGGATCATTCGGAGCCTCAGTACTGGACAAAACCCTAGAAGGAGGAGGCATCAGAGGTTGATCATTTGGAGCTTCATTACGCGGTACAGCCCCAGAAGACGAAGGCAATAAATGCCTTTGGAACAAACCCACAAATCTCTGATGATCAAGTAAAACCTGACCATCAGATTCCTTCATCTGGTCAAGCTTCCTCTTCATGTTTGTAGCATAGTCATGTGCGAGCCGGTGTAACTGTTTATTCTCATGCTTGAGCCCTCTAATCTCCTGTTTGAGACTCATCACTTCAGCCGCCAATGATTCAACTTGGCGGGTTCGAGCAAATAGGCGTTGGGCCATATTAGACACAGAACCTGCACACTGAACACTGAGAGCCAGAGAATCCTTAACAGCCAACTCATCAGACCGTTTGGAAAGTAGTCTGTTATCTTTGGGAGTGAGAAGGTTCCTGGCCACTACCGCAGCGGTCATATCATTCTTCATCACGGAATCCCCAACGGTAAGAGGACCAGTAGGGGAGACGAAGGATGGGCGCCATATGTTGTCTGGAGAAGGCGGGGCTGCCTCTTCAACAAGGTTCAAGTCAAAACAACGGTCGGAGAGGCCAGACATTTTCAAAGGTGCTGAAGAGAGAAGAGGTCGGACAAATCAAGATCTTAGAAGTGCAAGAATGGAGCTTCTACTGGTGGATATTCAAGTGTGCTTTGGAACTTAATGTCAGCCCTTATAAAAATCTGCACTCGACGAAGCTTCAGAAATCGAAGAGGCGCATGCTCAGAAATCGAAGAGGCGTTTGCTTTCTCAAAAGCTGGGCTGCTCATAGACCACAAGGGTCGATCTCAGAAACCGAAGAGGCGTTTGCTTTCTCAAAAGCTGGGCTGCTCAAATACCACGAAGGCCGATCTCAGAAATCAAAGAGGCTTGCTTTCTCAAAAGCTGGGCTGCTAAGAGACCACGAGGGCCGATCTCAGAAATCGAAGAGGCACCTACTTTTCCAGCCTTGTCAGCACCTGTCACACGCACACTCAGCTTTGCGGAAATTATGGGCATTCTGTCGAAAATTTCTGGCGAAGTAGAAAGCACATGAATCGTACTGTTCAATCACCCACTTCCCACACGCAACAGTAACTCATGGGTACCACAGATAACTTTGCCAAAGTTCTCTGACAAAGTTGAGACACGTGAAGCTTGCAGCTCCCGCTACATCACTCTGACCAAGAAGGGTAAAAGAATTGCAAAGAAACAACACTAACAAAGTTTAGACACATAAATTTTGAAGGTCTAGCTACTATATTATTACCCACAAGGGTAAAGGAACAGTACCACTGCTGGATAATTGGAAAGTCCCGGTGTGTCAACCTCTGTGCTTCGTGGCAAGGTAGACTAGCAAACATGCCCAACCTTTACTCACATTCGAGAAAACACTCCCAACAGGATTGCTTGCTCCAAAATCGAAGAGGCACCGCCCTCCGAATCTCGAGAGCCAGACTCCCAACATGATTACTTTCTCAAAAATCGAAGAGAGGGTAAAGGAACAGTACCACTGCTGGATAATTGGAAAGTCCCTGTGTGTCAACCTTTGTGCTTCGTGGCAAGGTAGACTAGCAAACATGCCCAACCTTTACTCACATTCGAGAAAACACTCCCCAACAAGATTGCTTGCTCCAAAATCGAAGAGGCACCGCCCTCCGAATCTCGAGAGCCAGACTCCCAACATGATTACTTTCTCAAAAATCGAAGAGAGGGTAAAGGAACAGTACCACTGCTGGATAATTGGAAAGTCCCTGTGTGTCAACCTCTGTGCTTCGTGGCAAGGTAAACTAGCAAACATGCCCAACCTTTACTCACATTCGAGAAAAACACTCCCAACAAGATTGCTTGCTCCAAAATCGAAGAGGCACCGCCCTCCGAATCTCGAGAGCCAGACTCCCAACATGATTACTTTCTCAAAAATCGAAGAGACACCGCTCTCCGAATCTCGAGAGCCAGACCTCCAGCATGATTGCTTTCTCAAAAATCGAAGAGGCATCGTTCTCCGAATCTCGAGAGCCAGATCCCCGACAGGATTGCTTGTTCGAAAACCGAAGAGGCACCACTTTCCCAACTTCAAGAGCTGGATCTCCTTGGATAAAGCTTGTCTGTAATCTTCACACGCAACATCAGCTTTCCAGATACCACAGACCACTTTTTCAAAGTGCTCTGACAGAGTTAAAACATGTGAAGCTGGCAGCTCCCACTACCGTGCTATGACCAAGCAGGGTAAAGGAATAGCATTATTAGTTGATGTTAGGGAGACTCCTATATATGTCGACCTCCATCCCTAACGGACAGGCAGACCTGTAAAAATGCTCAACCCTTTCTCTTATCTGAGAGGGCACTCCCAACGAAGCCTTTCGAAATATTCAGCTTTCTTTCCCCCCTATAATACCTCTGTAAACAAGCTATACTAGAGCAGAGCAAGAATATCTCATATCATCAGGGTTAAAAGCAAGAGTATCCCATATCATGCTTTTTCCCTGTCTTTTCCTTTGGCCTTGTTCTTACCTGCAAGACAAGGAGAAAGAGAGCAATCAGTCAGCACTTGGAATCAAGCTTCCAGCCAGGAACTGACTGCCTGGAACCCCTTACCTGATTACTTACCTGGCATTGCTCTCGAGTACTCATCTTCAACATCTTATGCTTCCAGGGAAGATATCGCATCTGCCTGAGGAACAGATATGGCAAGTGAGAAGGATACAAGGAAGCATGTGGAGACAAGCGTAACAGCACACGTGCCGATACATCCACTACTCTGTCAAAAGAAAAAGTATCCCATATCAGCAGGGTCGAACGTACTCTAGATTTGATGGACTTGTTTTGACCCTCAAATTCTTCAGTCGGCCTTATACTCTGGAGGAAACCAGAAAACCCTCCAGCCCGGTTCAAGAATAAGCCTGTGGAAAGTTACTTCTTCAAAAGCAAAAGTATCCCATATCATCTCTTCTCATTTTTCTTCTCTTTATCCTTCATGCTGCCTGCAAGATAGGGAGAATGTGAACAATCAGTCGGAGCTCTGATTGCTTACCTTGTCTGTCACCTCTTTCAGCAGATCCCCTAGCCCGGCGACTTGGGGGACTCCTACTACATGGTTTGTATCGCGCTTGACCAAGCCTGAAACTACAAGTAAGCTTCAAGTGAAATTGATACATTACCTAGTGCATCTCCACCAGTTACAGATACCACCCCTGGATGGAGGAAGAGTACTTCCAGAGAAGATGCCACATCTACCTATGAGACAGATAAGGCAAGTCAAGACGATACCACACTCCGGTACTTAGAAGTTTCGTGGTTACGAGATCATTCTCCCACAATATTTCCTAATGTCATTTGTACTAAATCATTCACTTGTACTCACTAAAGGAGAGCTTGAACCTATGTACTTGTGTAAACCTTTCACAATTAATGAGAACTCCTCTATTCCGTGGACGTAGCCAATCTGGGTGAACCACGTACATCTTGTGGTTGCTTTCCTATCTCTATCCATTTATATACTTATCCACACTAATGACCGGCAATCTAGCGAAGATCACAAAAAGTGACCGTTTTCGCTATCTAGGATCTATCTTGCAAGAGAACGGAGAATTAGATGGAGATCTCAACCATAGAATACAATCTGGATGGATGAAGTGTAAGAGTGCATCTGGCGTGTTGTGTGACCGTCGTAGGCCACTGAAGCTCAAGGGAAAATTTTATAGGACGGCAATAAGGCCAGCGATGTTGTATGGCACAGAATGTTGGGCGGTGAAGCATCAACACGTACACAAAATGGGTGTAGCGGAGATGAGGATGCTTCTTGGGATGTATGGGCACATGATAAAGGATAAGATTGGGAATGAGGATATCCGAGGTAAAGTAGGAGTAGCCAAAATTGAAGGAAATATGAGAGAAAATCAGTTCCGGTGGTTTGGACATGTGCAAAGAAGGCCTACTGACGCTCCGGTTCGAAAATGTGACTACGGGACAAAGGTTCAGGGCCGAAGGGGTAGAGGAAGACTTAGGAAAACTTTGGAGAGACCCTAAGAAAAGACTTGAGTACTTGGATCTAACGGAGGACATGACACAAAACCGAGCGCAATGGCGTTCTAGGATTCATATAGCCGACCCCACTTAGTGGGAAAAGGCTTTGTTGTTGTTGTTGTTGTTGTTGTCTTTGTTTGCTGTTAAAAAAAACAAAAACAAAACAAAACAGCTAGAAAGCAAGGAGTCAAATAACTCAAGTGCCACATCATATTTGAAATATCCATTAAAGAACACCTGAATGTCTTTTAATCATATTTGACATCTAATTTGGAGATGATCCAATGCGAGTTAAAGTAATAGTAAATATAATATATGTATGGTTTAGGATTAGGAGACATGCTATTGACATCGATTTTGACACACATCTTTTTGTGCGACTTACTTCGTAATATATTTAACAATTTGAATCGTCTACAGTCTACCTTTTAGGTCTTCTCTAAAAGATTATGCTTGCCAATATTGACCATTGGATTAAATTTAATGTTCTTTTATAGAACCATATTAGTTCATTTTCTTTACTATAAAAAGAATGTCTTAATGATTTTAAATTTGTCTAATTTTTTTTTAAAGATGCTCTATGAATGATGTATTAAAATATAGACGGTTCGAATCGTTGAAATACCTTATGAAGGGGAGCTCACAAAATAGTTGTCAAAATATGTGTCCAAAGCGCATGTTTCCGATCCCAACCCTATATATATAGTGTATGAAGGTGCAGCCTGTGAAATTTGAGAAATAATTTTAACGATTGTGTTTTTAACCTTAAAGGGTTGGTCTAGTGAAGCGACCAATGTTTGGAACCTTAAACGAACTCACAAGAATGCTCAATATCTAATTGGATACCTCCTATATTAAAAATAAATAAATAAAGAAACAATTTTTATGAGAATCCTTACAGATTTAGAGAATCTCCAAAGATTTAGAATCCAGATATTCTAGGAATGCCACCAAGTGCAAAAGAATTAGCTAAATTGGAGGCAAACAAATAATAACAGGGTGAGAGTAGAAATATGCGCAAGTGCAAGGACCCGTTTGCAAATTCCACTTGTAACTAAAAACAGAAAAAGAGACGTTGGTTCTTAGGCGCGTCATGTATGTGTATTTTTTGCTGCCGTCGGGAAACAGGCATCTCTCTCTCTCTCTCTCTCTCTCTCAAAAGTTTTTGTGTCCATTCTACAAACGGCACGGCAGGTTATATTCTAATTATAATGATCCAGTACCGGATATTTGAATTCAATCTTGATTACCCATATCTTGAAATTTCAGTTTTAATCAGCCGAGTTTGGTAATATTGACATCCAAGGACAATGGTGATGAAGAAGATGATGAGGTGGCCACCATGGCCGGCAGCAGCGGTTGCCACCAAGAAATATACTGTAGTGGTTGTTGTGCGGAGGCTACAGGGGTTGGAATTGGAGGACGAGGTGGAGGAGGAGAGAAGAGCGTTGGTGGTGGAGGTTAAGTGGAAGGGTCAGAAGAAGTCCTGGAGACTCGGCTCTGCGCCTCCTGTCAAGAGGAATTTCACCAAAGAAGGTGGAATTGGCGATGATGGGGCGGTCGAGTGGGATGAGGAGTTTACGAGTGTCTGTCGCTTTTCGGGTTACAAGGAGGAGGGGGAGCCTCTGTTTTTTCCATGGGAGCTTGCATTTACAGTGCTCTTCAATGTCAGTCAGTCTCTCTTCCTCTCAACTTTTTTTTGCTTTTGTTACGAGGATTGATGATATTTTTTTTTTTCCAGTTTCTCTGTTTCTCCATATACTTTAGATTGATGGGTTGACTATTGGTGACAGAAGAAATGAAAGTTTTATTTCTCTTCGCTTCGGTTTTGACTTGAATTATATTCTAATCTCCTCTAATTTACGAAGAGGGGAATTCGTAGAATTGCTTATTTTGTATGAAATTTGAGCCTGCATATTGAGTCCTAAGCACCCTACATTTCTTTGCTGAGAATGATTTAGTAAACTATCCATCCATCAATCCCAGAAAAAACAATCTAAAAAAGGAAGGCGAAGGCGGCACAACAAGATCAATACAAGAATATTCGTTTTAGTTACCAAACCAACATGACAAAGTACCGATTCAAGATTTCACTGCCGATTCAAGTTGACAAGTAGTAATCTGATTTTACTTCTTTCTTCCTTCTCTGTCAAATAGTCGTCGTCTTTACATACAAGACTAGTTCAAACCTGTTATGCTACCTTATGTGTATTTTGTGGGTTAATTGAATTTAGAGAATAGAATCTAATTGAAATAAGAATATGCTTATAAGTTTTGAACTTGTTTTCTCCAGAATATTGGAACATAATTATAAAGACATTATTTGAATATTGAGAACCTCATATACGTACCGGTTTCCATAGACTTAGCATTCTTTCAATGGTTAATTTTCCAATTACGGTTTTTGATTTTATTGCTTCCATCTTTTGTCAAGTTTTCTCATGAACTGTGGTCTCATCGATCTTGTGAATTTTTTTTTTTTCGGTTTAATGAATCAGGCTGAAAACAAAGGAGTGAGAAACAGAGTCAGTGTCTTTGGAACTGCGTCACTGAACCTCGCGGAATATGCTTTAGCAGCGTCTGTCGGAAAGGAATTCCGGCTCAACATTCCTGTTAATGTCGCTACTGGGGTTTCAAAGACTATCCCATCACTGTCTGTATGTACTACTGCCTATGTGTGCATTAGACTATTTTATTCTTCATCTGGTTTTCTTGTGTCACCTTTTCGGGTTGTGCTCAAGTTCTCTTTTCTGAATTTGAATATTTCATCTTATGCAAAGTTCCTCCACAATAATTACAGATCTCTCTCAGATTATTGGAACTGAGAGCCACTCAACAACTCTCAGAGACAATGCGGGGATCCCCGCATTCTGATGAAGCTATTTCCGCACAAAAAGACGAGTTTTCTTCTCTTAAAGCAGGGCTGAGAAAGGTGAAAATCCTAACCAATTATGTTTCATTTGGTAAATCAAACAAGGCATGCTGCGAGGAAGGTGGCACTGATAGCAGGAGTTCCAATCGAAGTGAGGATGCTTCGTCCAATTATCCATTTGACACAAGTTCACTTGATGATGATGCTGGAGAGGAATCAGAGTGCAGTAAGGACGATTCTAGTGTCAGGCGGTCAATCAGCTACGAAACTATAGCATATGCAAACTATGCTGGAGCCTTGTTTTACTCCAATACTAACATTGACAATGAGGATGATTTTTGGATCCACTATAGCAACCATAAATTAGCAGGCGGCTTGCATGTTGAGAATTCTAGTGCACCAGTCCACAGGCCAACCTTCTGGCAGAGTTCAATGGGAAGCATCCTACCTTGGAGGAAGAGGAAATTGAGCTTCAGATCTCCAAAAGCCAAAGAGGAACCTCTTCTGAAGAAACATTATGGAGAAGAGGGTGGCGATGATATTGACTTTGATCGCAGGCAGCTTAGCTCCTCCGATGAGTCCAGTTTTGGGGTACATGTTCAACTTCTCCCTGTTGTTTTTGAAAATGTCCAGTTTTTGTATTCGCTATTTTCGTATCCTTTTTCTGAAACCTTTTGTTTCTTCTTTCTATCCTGAAAAGTCTCATGAAACAGAGGGTTCAGTATCTGAATTTGGGGATGATAGTTTTTATGTGGGAACTTGGCAGCAAAAGGAAGTGATAAGCCGTGATGGAAATATGAAGCTTCACACCCAAGTATTTTTTGCTTCAATTGATCAAAGGAGTGAACGTGCTGCTGGAGAAAGTGCGTGCACGGCCCTGGTTGCAGTCATTGCAGATTGGTTGAAATCCAACCAGGATGAGATGCCTATCAAGTCTGAATTCGACAGCCTGATTAGAGATGGATCATCAGAGTGGAGAGCTCTCTGCAATAACGAGGCCTACATAGAGCATTTCCCTGACAAGCACTTTGATCTTGACACCATTGTTCAATCTAAAGTTCGTCCTCTTTCTCTAGTTCCGGAGAAATCTTTCGTAGGATTCTTCCATCCCGAGGGACTAGAAAATAGGGATTTCGACTTCCTTGATGGTGCCATGTCCTTCGATAGTATATGGGATGAGATCAGCCGTTCTGCATCAGAATGTGCATGGGACAGCGAACCGTTAGTCTACATTGTGAGTTGGAATGACCATTTCTTTGTCCTAAGGGTAGAGCAATATGCTTTTTACATAATTGATACGTTGGGGGAGAGGCTGTATGAAGGCTGCAACCACGCTTATATCCTCAAATTTGACAAAGACACAGTGATCCAAAGATTACCAAGCGGTACTAAAACATCAGATGAGAAAAAGAGCGATCAATTACAACTGAACAACTCCAAGGAAACAAAAGCTGAAGGGGCAATTGTAGTGAGCCAGAAAGATTCGAAAGACGGAGATAGAGAAGAGGAGATTGTGTGGAAAGGAAAAGACTGTTGTAAAGAGTATATTAAGAGCTTTCTTGCTGCTATCCCGATAAGGGGATTGCTCGCGGATCTTAAGAGGGGTTTGATGACATCAGTACCTCTCCATCACCGGCTACAAATTGAATTCCACTATACCAAGCTGTTGCTGTCCCCGGGTGAAGTTTCAGTAAGTGAAACAGCAGCTGATGCACCAGCAATGGCCATGGCATTGACCGTTGTATAATGACTTCCCCCTCCCCCTTCTTTTCGGGATTCAATTGTTCTTCTCTAGTAGCAATACAAAGTAAATAGAGAACTCAAAATAGAGAACTCATACCACATTATTTCTTTGTTTATCAACAATAAATCCTCATGTTCAAGAACCTTAACATGAAGGGCTTTACCCCGACGTTTGGTACATGTCATAAATATTTTTCGATCCTTTGATGAAATAGATCCCACAAAGAAAAGAAAGCTTCAGTCCAACTCTGGTTCTTCTAATGGAAGAAAAGGTGGATAAGCTTAGATTAGAAGTTCACCACCTTTTCTTCAATAAGACTGCACCAAAACTAGAGTTTACTGGATCTCATTTGCGGAAAGGAAAGTGTAGTGACGACCAAATGCAGATTGGTCCTTCTTCTAGTTGTTATTCCGAAATTCTCAGTCATCATGATTGAGGGCTTCTAGTTTCATCCTATTGGCAAGTTTCCAGTCGAGGTGGTACAAATATTTGAGCAAATCCAAGTTCAATGTGTGCAGTGGCAGTTCGAATGATATTCCTCGACAGAGTCTCCTGCCTGCACCAAATGGAAACGGAAGCAATTCAAAATTGTTTCCTTTAAAGTCCATGGTTTTGAAAGCTTTTTCAGGATGATCAGCCCAAAATTTTGAATCTCTCCCTATTGCATAAGCATTGATGATGACTTTGGCCCTTGCTAGTCTTGGGATGACAGGACCGACTGCATGTGCAGGGTGTAATCGAAAAGTTTCCTTGATGACTAATTTCAAGTAGAAGTATTCAAGCTCTTCGATTTTGTCCTTTCCTTTTGACGGTTGTCGTGCCTCCGATTGTGACTTCTCCATTAATTAGGGATTTTTAGCAGCTCTGAGATTGCCAATTTCGTTGCTGGTCAACTCTCACAGCCTGCAGCAGAGAAAATGTCCTGAAAATATGAAGTTGCAATTAGTTATTGGAAGTGAATACTGCACACCTGTTTTCTCCCCATAGGTTTATTTCGAGTCTTCGATTGAATAAATCAAAGGAGCATCAAGCGACATAAATAATTAAACAGGGGTGTGCGGACCTTAATCGTACTTACTTGTACAACAAGTAAATATATATGTAAAGAGTATTTTGAAGTGGTGGTTTCTTTTCTCCTTTATCTTAAATCTGAACACATCGCAATTGGCCTAAAATCTGAAAGATACGAATGCAAGCTTTTGCGAATTTGTATGCAATGCAGGCATTAATTCAAGAATTTTAGGGCCAGTTTGGTATCCTACTTCGATAAGGTCAAGAATTTTAGGACCAGTTTGGTATCCTACTTCGATAAGGTTCCATATCTTTCGTAGTTGTCTCCAATGAATGTAGGGGGAGAACACAATGCTTGAATTAGTGGTCATATGCGATTATTTGAGCAGTATATACATACACTTGACTTGAGGTCGATCTATGTGTGAAACTGATCTCCTCGTTCGTCTTCAACACCTCTTGGGCTGCTTCTGATGATGAAATAATCACCCAGTTGTAGTTGTTGGAAAATTTAATAATATTATTATTATATTAAATTTATTAATTAAATGGAAATTAGAAGTAGGGCTTTTTGGTAGAAAGATGTGACTACTCAAATGAAAAGTTGCAACTTTTGACTCTTCATGAATGCTTTCCAAAGAGATATCTCACATTCTATAAATAGGGAAGCCCCTATAATCACAAAATAACTTTTCATTGTTTATATAATCATACATAGAGTGCGTTAAATATTAGAGAGTCTCATGGAGTCCATATGCGAGAGTTTTCAACACAATCGTGGTTTATGGAGCCTTGTGATTTGGAGTGCTACTATTACAAGAACGTGGTTGTTATATCTTGAGAGACATGCGCTGATCAACCATGAGCACCATAGTGGGGCGTAAACTTGTCTTAAGGACAAAGTGTCCAACACTTGCCTCAATCGTATTTTTTAGGTTTTTCTAATCCGTTATATCATGTTCATTTAACATTGGTTACTCATGTGCATGCATTATATATAATTGCATGATTTATTTCTTAAATTTTTATGTGATTTAACATAGCAATTAGACCTAAATTTTCCAACCGTAGTTTCATAACAGGGCCATGTTTCTTGCAGTACAAGTTTTGTGAGAGCATCATGTGCAGTGGTTGTTTTGGCCGTGGAGATGGAGGCAACTTAATTGCCTACAGTATGTCTTTGGCTTTGGATTTTTTCTTTTCCCAATATTTTCTGAGTGTCAAGAAGAAGAGAATGATGAATTGAGGTTCCATCATAAAATCAATTGGTAATATGGGGAGTAGCCCAAGACCATATAAGCACATAGCAAACCTTGTCCCTCACCAATGTGTGACAACTCTCAACACGCCGCCGCACGTGTAGTAAATTTTCAAGCCTACACGTGGACAACAACTGGGTGACGTGGAGCACGTGTGGCCATTTGGCTTCACACGAGGACAACCCGCTCTGATACTATGATGAATTGAGGTTCCACCATAAAACCAATTGGTAATATGGGGAGTAGCCCAAGATCATATAAGCACATAGCAAACCTTGTCCCTCACCAATGTGTGACAACTCTCAACAGAGAATGCATTGCCAAATTCGTAATTATGTTTTGTTTACTAAACAACTGCAAATTTGTTGTGGATGCTAAGATGCGCTTATAATTTCAGTTTTATATGCATAGCCGTGGGCGTAGTAAATAAATACAACCAAATATATTAGTGACTGTTTACTTACTTGGAATGACGCAAGTCATAAACAAGGAAAGAGAGAAAGAATCGGAACGAGATCAGCTAGTCCTCCTAGTTGATCTAATTTCTGACTTTCTGGTATATGATTACGAATTTCAAGGTAGAACCCATACTTTTCGGAAGTTTGTGTTAGCTACTATAGAAGAAGCTAGGAATTGAAATGATTCCAATAATCACCATTATGAGAGTTGAACGTAAGACATTTCACCTACAAGCGAACAGCGATACTGCAGTTACGAGTAGACCAGTATAAGTGGGTTTCCCTCTCTTCCTTCTCTGAATAAAAAATCCCATACAAGTGAAGATTTACGTTTAGTATGGATATGATTTCATTAGAGGATTGCACTTGAGCTTCGAACAAAAGAGGAAAGAAGAACAGATGATTACACTTGTGAGGCATTTGAGTGGATCGTTCTTAATTAATGCATTAAAGAATGAAATAAATAAATAAATCTCTACTATATATAAGAGATAATTATGCTGCCAATACTTGATTTATCAACTTAACCCTTGTTTCTGAATCATAAACTCCTCAGTGCATTCACTTGTTCCGTGTATGGTGCCTGAAGTCTGAAGATGGGATTCTATAATCTCCTTCCTGCATTTGAAGATGTGCTTGACTGGCTCCTTTAGATCTCGTACCCAGATAGTGGTAGATGGACGTCGCTTAGCACATCCTAAACATCATAAGACGAAAGATTAAATTGAATTTAAGGAAAATATCCAAAGAATTCAGACAGAGAATCATCTATGTGTGCAGTGACTGTTTAAGTACAATATTGCTTGCTTAGCTAGAATATGTATGTTAAACAACTCACTTGATCACATGAGGACATCGAGCTTTGGCCATGTCTTTGTGAGTATACTCCACCAGGACCAGCACCAGGCATGCTATCTTCGGCTAATGCTCTCAATCTGTTAAGTTCAGGTAGCACAACCTTCCCAAGATCGGGTCTGTCTTTCCGCCTCATTTCAGTACATTGTAAGGCTAACTTGGCAAAGTTGGTGGCTTCCTCCACTGGCCAGTCAGGAACAGCAGGGTCTAGCAACTCAGCAAAGGTCCCTAGCTCCAAAGCCTGCTCGACATGATGAGTCAAACCCATTGGCGATTTCGCTGTTATTAGTTGTAGAAACATGACCCCGAGTGAGTAGACATCAGATTTTGTTCCAAGCATGCCAGTTTGTTGATACTCTGGGTCGATATAACAGAAGGTTCCGGCTGTTGATGTCATTCGGTACTGAGTGACAGAGTCTTGTACAGATGGAGGGACAAGCCTGGCTAGACCTACATCACTAATCTTGCTCACATAGTTATGGTCTAGCAAAATGTTTCCAGGTTTTAGGTCACGGTGTACAATTGGTTCTGGCTTCGTCTGGTGAAGGAACAAAAGTGCAGTGCCAATTTCTGCAGCAATTCGGAACCTGAGCTGCCAAGGAATAGCCGGGGTCTTACTGTTACCTTGCTGGAAGAGACGGTCTTCTAAGCTCCCCTTAGCCATGTACTCATAGACCAGACAACCATACTCTGGGCAGGCTCCAAGAAGGAGCACCATGTTTGGATGTCGTATGCAGCTCAATACTTCGATCTGCATAGTCAAAGAGTTGTCAGCGTTGAGAGTTGTCCCACATTATTGAAAAAAGGAGATTTGCCTTAGTTGTTTAAGTGATCTTAGGGCTCTCTCTCCTATCACCAGTTGGTTTAGAGTTCGATGCTCACATCCTAAATTGGTACCAAAGCAGCTGTATACTAATTGTGCTTGAAAACTGTATCATGTATTTATGTAAAAAGTCACAAACCTCTTGTTGGAACTGTGAACGTCCGTGCGCTGCATCTGGACGTAGAATTTTGATTGCTACTTGTGTGTGATCCAGTTCTCCCCAGTACACTGGTCCATAGCCTCCTTCTCCAATCTTGCGATCTTGTGAAAATTTATTTGTTGCTACTTCAATCTCCTCAATTGTATATTTCCTGTACCTGAAACTGTATGCCGTTGCTTCTGTTCCCTTCTTCTCTTCAGCTTGTTCAAGAATTGTCATTTCTGCAAGCCTCCTTTTTTGGGATTCCAGTTCAGCAATCATTTGAGCTGCCGCTGCCGCCTGAATGGCTGCCTTACATTTCGCTTTCTCATTCTCTATTTGTGCCAATGCAGCTTCCTCTGCTATTCGTGCCTCATGTAATCGTTGTTGTTCTTCCGATTTCAATCGGTTTGCCTATATATCACGGTATGTTATTACAATTCATGCATGTTAGAATTAGTTGTCTTTCTATATTATATGCTCAAATAAGATTTCACTTCCACATCATACCGTATGTTTTGATGCGACTGCCTCCTTGCAGGCCGCGTTATACATGTCCATTGTTTGCTTGAGCTCTAGCTGGAGCCTCCTCATCTCAACTTCCACTTCATCCTTTTATTTTCAAGAAAAAACTACGTATTAATACTCTCAACCATCTCTACGTACAGTCTCAAACTCGCTCAAAATTAGTTAAATCGAATGCTGCTATTTGTATAATCTAAACTAGCAACTTGTCTGCTATTTCCAGTTTACTTATGGTGGGAATTGTCTTGTCTTACTGTGTTTTGTGACGATGACCATGATCTTCCACTTTCTGATGAGGATGTTGAGAATCCATATGGTGAGGCGCTCATGTCAATATATTGGTGTCTAGAGTAAGATGACGCAGAGCTTATGCTGTCAAACTCCGAGCCCATTGATTGTCGGGAGCTCATTTCTGATGATACACTATTGTACGAGGAAGGAAACATGTGATCAATGCTTGGCCTTTCGCTGCTCACAAATGATATATCACTACTCTCTGGTGAGAGGTCGTATGAGTGGTTCATTGAAGATCGTCCTCTTGTGAATGGTGATCTGCATCATTTTTATTAGGTCAGTATCCTCATCAATTATTGTATCAGCGATCAGCATACTTATTATTGTCTCGCAGAATCAAAGTGTGTGTGAGAGGTTAATTACTTGATTTCATCAGTGTCATGATGCATCAGCTGGCGAGGGGGTGAAGCGTGCGTCCTCCTCTCCAAAGCTGTATTAATCAAAGAAACTTGAGTGAGTAATGAAAAAATCCTGCCATCGAACTAGTGGGGAAATAACTTGATCAGTTGTAGAATAACAGAAACAAATTTACCCCTGGGATGCTGCTTACGCATGGATTGTTCACCATTTTCCGAATTTCTGCTGGAATGTTTTTGAATTTGGTTATGTGCTTTTTGGGGTGGTGCTGTGGTAGCAGTTTGCACATATGAGATCTTTCCTTTCCCAATGACATAGAGAGTGCAGAAATCTGGTATCCCTTTTAACACAGAGCTTGGGACGTCTGTTGTTGTTTTGAATGATCTGTTGCTTTCGAGCAAAGAGTGGACGACATTAAGATCATCAGTAATGTTGTTTAAACTATCTTGGTTCACTCAGTCAAAGATTTATTTTCCAAAATTAGTCGAATTGAAAATTTTTACTCATCCAAATTCTTATCTTATTGTTAGATAACTATAAATAGGCGAACATACATAGTGTTAATGAACACGAGAACGATGACAATGATAATCAGATACCTAAACGATTATCAAATGGACAAAACAAATTTTTAATCGCGGTGATAGGAACGTAAACCCTATTTAGAGAATGACTCATTGTTTCTTTGATAGGTTATGTTATTAGAATCTCACTTAGATAAGAATAAGAAGAAATATGAAAAGTAAGAAACCACATCAAAAAAAAGAAGGGAAGAAAGCAAAAGATTACTTGAAAAAGCCGGTTCTTGTGGGTGCTCCAAGTACCAAAACCTCAATTGAATTAGAGATAACATAGTTGATCAAGGTTTTTGGTACATCGGCAGCCTCAACCACGACTTCTTTGCATTTTATCTGCAGCAAAGATCAAGTTAAGCAACCTGCAGATCAAAAACTGCATCGAGAAACAAAATGATACGTAAACTAATTGATTAGGAGCGCAACTCACAAGCTTTTTGCTGCAAAAGGAACGGAATGGAAGAAAAAGCTCTTTGGTTATGGGGTCAACGGGTTTTTTGTACACATATTCAGTTTCCTCCCCTTGGGATACAGCAGAAACCACCGGTGGCGTTTGTTTGACATGGAGCAGGATGAGATGTTGGCCTCCGGTGACAAGATTATCAACGGCCCATTTTATAGCATGTTGACTTCCTTTGTCTCTGTCTATTGCAAGTGTCACCTTCTCTCTCGATTCTACTGTCCCTCTTCCCATTTCTCTATATGATTTGTCTTCCAATCGACCTCGGAAACAGAAGTACCACCAGGCTGTAAGCTACGAGCTAGTTGGTATCTGTCTTTACAAAGAAATTAATTATGCAGATGCAGAAACTCATAACCCAGAACTGATTAATGAAGAACGTACCCCGGTTTTTATATGATCACGACCTTGCAGACAACTGGCAATGCTTTGGCTCGCTAAAAAAAGAAAAAACTTGTTTTACTTACTCTCGAAAACAAACTAGTTAATATTTCTACCTTCCACAACCCTTGATTGGTATTCTATCTCTAGAACGCTCAGTAGATCGACTCGTTTTGTCCAACGGAGTTTGTTACTTGTGCTGACATATTCAATTACCGGAGAGTTTGATAGTTTTCGAAGTAAACCACATTATCCGGAAACTCTTGTGTCACTTCACTCGTTTTGTTTACGTACGAAGAACCTTCCAAAAGAAATAAAAATAAAGAACGAGATAATTCCAGCCTTCCCCGTCTATTTTTAGTTCGTGTTAGTTATTCTGGATCAAACAGAAAGAAATTTACTAGAAAAAAGAGAAATGGATCATCAAAGAACCTTCTTTTATTCAGATCCCGACTTTTCGCGAAAAGAATTTCGAAAGAATATAATGAATACAAAGAATCAGAAATTTCAAGTTACATACACTACATTACAACAAGAGAATCACAATTCGAATTTATTCAGCAACACAAGGGGCATATAATCAACCCATTTTCGTTACACTCGGGGCACTTATCCGGCTGCCCCTCATCGGCGATGAGCTTGCAGCTCCCGCTGCATCTGAAGCAAACCACAAATCGAACTCCATCACAAGCTTCACAGGGGCCAATGGACCGATCCAACGGGACTCCTTCGAAGAGCGGCTTGAGCTTTCCTTGTTCATGAAGCGTTAAAACCTCCTCCGCTCCCCCGATATACCTCCCCTTTATGAAAAGCTTTGGAGGCACTGCTTTGCAATCCAGAATCTTCCACAGCTCTTGTCTGAATTCCATGTGCATTGACACATCTCGCTCGTAGAACACCACCCGAAAGCTCTCCAAAAGAAATCGAACGCTGTTGCAATCATCAAAAGTCTTCCGAATCCCCCGAAGGGTTGTAGTGTAGAGAACTACCGATGAATCCAAACTACCAGGCGGACACTTTTCTTCAAAGCCTAATAGAGCGTCTTCATTTGAAGGCAGTGTTGGCTCTAGCTCTGGCACTGGCTCGGGATCTGGCGCTTCAATATCTTCTTTTTCGCTTCTCCTTGCATTTTTCTCTTCTTCGCTCAACCTCATATATTCCATCACTGCTTGCTGAAAGGCTGCTAGTAGGTCCGGGTCGAAGAGGCTACCGGAGTTTAAGTCCGGTCTCCGAAAAGATGAGATGTCAATCTCCGACAAGGGGGTCTGTCTACGATTCTCTGAAGCTTCAGAAGCTCTGTTTTCCTCCAAATTTGACTCCGTTTTATCCCTACTTTTACTGCACTCTACAGGGTGTTTTGCCACCATTTTAGGCCTAACGTTTTCCTTGTCGTCGACATCGATATCATCACCATCCTGCTCTGACTCTTCTTCATCTTCGAGGTCTCTCATAAGCTCGGTGACGTCGATGATGTCAGGCTCTTTCTCCGTCACATTCTTCTCTAACTGTTTGATCTTCTTCTTCTGCTTCGTTCCTTCCGAAATCAAATTATGGGTCTGAATGTTGAGATTTGAATCCGCGTACCCATCCGATGCATTTACCTGAAGAACTCGATCTTGGGGTTTCAGGTACCCAATTCCAATCGGTCCAATCGGTCCGATTGACTTCAACTTCATCATCAACTTCCCTTTCACCCCTTTCATTGTTTCCGAAATTGAGCACCGAAAATCTGAACCAGGCAACAAAATTTGGACACGGAAATAAAAATAAAAAAAATAAAAGGAGGATCGTAGAGATTAGAGAGTAAACGACGCTGCTGCTGCTTCTTCTTTCTCCGCCTTGACCTTGGTGGTTGGTGGTTCTACAGACGGAGCTTTCCAACTTCAACGGCTACAAAGTTGTTTTTGGAGTTCTAAAATTCGAAAACATGGGGGCAGGGAATGCTGTGGGATGCGGAACAGGATAAGTGTGAGGCTAACGGTCATAATTTGCTAGTGGCTTCTTTTCTTTAGCTTTTGTCACTTTTTTTCCGTCTTACTTTTCCTTGAAGGACAGTGATGGGAGAAACTTTTCATTATCACGGGTATACGAGTGATACAAAATGTATTATTATACAAATATTAGGATATATGTGATAAAAAATTAATAACTTAAAAAATAAAATATTTCACAATTTATATAAAAACACATGATGTACATTTGTTATTCCGATCATAATAAAAAATTTCTCCAGTTATGGATGGTTGATTGAGAAGCAGAAGCCATTTTTCATTAATTCTTTTTTACGGCTTATTAATTGAAATCACTTCTGAAATTGTCATTTAATTTCAATTTAATTTCTGAAATTAATTTCGTCTCACTTCATTTCTTAACTAACATTTTTAATTCTTTTGATCTCAATCCACCTGATTAAAGAAATGTTATCTTCAAAAGTATTTTGGACCGTTTTATTTTTTACACATTTATTTTGCTTCAGTCTACACACAAAAACATCCCACTCATTTTTGACAACTCTAATTCTAACATGTACTTTTGAGGCTTTTTAGAAATAAATTATTCAATAAACAGAAAAATTTGTGGCAACAATATTATTATATAAACCAATATAAGAATTACAATTTTGTTTCTAGTCATTTCATTTTGTTTCTAAAGTTCATTTCACTTGCGAGACATAGTAAACTTTACACTTGGAAAGTACTCATTACGATAAAAAGAAAAACATGATCAGCCTATTCCCAGATATCTTTCCAACCGAAATTGGCCTAATTCACCTATAAAAAAAAATAAAAACTAATGAAAAACACTTGAAAACTTTAAGTTTTAACGATAAAGATAAAATAAAGAGTAAAATGAATAGTATCAAGATTGACTTTTTAGTGTAAAAATATGACTTTTGTTAAAATAAACAGTACCGAAAGTTTTTCGTTAAAATTTCCTAAAAAATGATAACGGATCCTTTGCACAAAATAAAAACGAAAAAAACAATAAGCCATCCCATCCAAAATACTTCCTATGCAAACCCCAAAACCACAAAAAATCATCTAAAGCAAACGTGCACAGTTCGCAACTTGGTATTGATTTGTTCACTTGGGGTAAAGTTGCGCAAAGAGCGCCCCTAAACCCTCAGATTAGCAACGGCCCCCATTGCAAATGGGATTATGGTTATAAGCTCAAGCCCCCACGGACCAAAGACATATAACCTCTTTCAAAGGGTTACTCTAACCAACATCCTAAAGCAGCAGAATATAAATTCTTAGCTTTCAACAATTAACATTATATAGAATATAACCATCTCCTTAGTAGCTATTGTTCCCGAAAATTTACGATTCACAAACCAAACCACAAATATAAGTAACCATCGTCTTAGCATCCAACATACCACAATGCAGAAACTTTTATTTTTCTCAAATACTTTCATAAAGCCTATCTAATCACTGCTGAGCACACTGAACCCTCTGGGCACCACCATGCATGTCCTCATCATCGTCATATGCCTCGTGTGCATGTGCTTGCTTTCGGCGCATTTCCTCCTCTATGTTAACATCATGCAGCGTAGTCTCCTCACATTCATCCAACTCCATGTCGGTCAGCTGAGCCGAAGTCTTGGGGGGGAGGACAGCCTCCAGAGCCTTGCACTGTTCTGGATTCAGTGAGTCGGGGAACTCCACTGTGAAGTGAATATATAACTTACCTTTCATGAATGGCCTCTGGTACATTGGCATGCCCTCATCATTTATAGCCTTGAATTGATCTGATAGACACCAGTGAAAAAACAAATTAAATCACTGGAACTAAAAAATATTCTGATGCAACGTCCATTTGTTAGGATGAAAGCCTAGAATTCTCAAACAAAAGCTTTTATCACAATACGGGCCAAAAACTAATGCACTAACTTTCACCGCTATGCATTTCCTAACTGAACTCAATATTATGATTGCAGGGACTGCAGGGACAGGTTGCAAATCTCATTTGTTCCATTAGTATAGTTATGATAATTGCACCATAGTAAACCAAACACATGACCACAAGCAACAGTGTCTTCTTCCAGTCACTAACTACAAGAGAGAGAGCGAGGGGGAGAGAGAAATGTAGGTGCGATTATAGGCATAAAGGGAGTGAAAAGGTAATATGTTTTAAATTTAAAAGGCAAATAGATGTGATGTTATTCCCACCCGCTCCGTTTTCTCACCCTCCATTAAATTTAAAACATATTACCTTCTCAATCCCTTTGTTCCTATAATCCTTAGTCTTTTTCTCCTTTCCAAAAAAATTGGTCATCTTTGAATAGCTTTACTCATATCGTCATCATATACGTTTGTTTTCTGTTCATGTATTTTTTGGTTGTCTGTTTTCTTTTTCTTTTTCACTCAAAACTTCTTTTTGTTTGTAACATAAACAAAAACTTATACCAGACTTGTCAATAACCCATAAAACACCAATCCAAATCATCATTGGTTCAAGTGACAATGGCCTACACATTTATTTGACCAACCCTAATAAAGGTAGCATAATAAAATATTCCAAGAATGAATTTGATAATGAATCATAACATCAGGAACTAACCGAATGCACAAAGCAACTATTCAAAATGAGTACAGTAATAATGAAACTTACCAGGCTTTACAACTTCTCCAGGTTGGGATTTAATGAGGAGCTGTCTTCCATCTAAATGTGTCAATACAAATTGGAAGCCGCAGAGTGATTCCACAAGTGACAAGGTATGTTCAAAGAAGAGATCATCACCCTTCCTCTTAAATTTAGGGTGCTCCTTTTGTTGTAGGACAAAGACAATATCGCCTGTGATGGTGTCTGGCTGCAGAATGAAAAAAAAAAAAGGAAGACAAAATAGCATGGATCAATAAATGTACCAAAGACAACTGACATAAAGTGGTCACAAATAACGAACCTTCAAAGTTCAAAGTGAAAGCATGTAAACCTACCGCTTCATCAGCTTCACCAGGGAAAGTAATCTTCTGCCCATTTTGCATGCCCTTCTCCACAATTACTTCTAAGACTTTCTTTTCCTGAACAACCTTCTCACCCTTACATTGTGTGCAGCGATCCTTGTCATTAATGGTCTCACCAGTACCCTTGCACTCAGCGCAAGGATGTTGCATTTGCTGGATCATCGAGGGGCCGAGATGTCTAATAGAGACTTTCATTCCAGAACCTTGGCAGCCAGGACATTTCATTGAAGCACCTGACTTCGACCCTTTACTGAATCATGTAAAATAACATCTCCATATCAGAACCATAGAGCACTAAAGTAATTTCGAATAACAACATTCAACTCGTATTAAAACACTAACCCCTTGCACTTGGAGCAGATTTTGTTGCGCGCAAGAGAAAGCTTTTTGGACGTTCCATTGTAGAGATCTTCCAAAGAAACCTTAAGGGGATGGATCACATCCTCTCCCCTTCTCTGCCTTCGGCCTCTGCTGCTTCCACCACCTGGGACATAGCATCAAAACACTTAATTCCAATTTACACAAAGTACAAACACACGGAGCTCAGATCCAAACAGGGAAAATGCCTCACCACCGAATGGGTTTCCACCAAAGAAGGATTGGAAAATATCAAATGGGTCATGGCCACCACCTCCACCACCCATTCCTTCCTTGAGGGCATCCTCGCCATATTGATCGTATATCTCACGTTTCTCTGGATCACTCAGAACCTCATATGCTTGGGCCAACTCTTTAAACTAAATTACAAACCGGTATCAAAACGGTCAGAAAATCAACATAACAAGAAAATACCATTAGGTTTTATTTGATGACAATGAAATTCCAGCACAAGCACCCCCTCGGGTCGGACTATAACTCGTAGTGTCCGAAATACAAACATATGAAAGATTGAAGAAAACCCAACATATAGTTTCACCATGTTAACTGCTCACATATACCTCCGATTTATCAAAAACGATTCAGATGAATTATAAATTTCAATAATTTAAAAATTCAAGTGCAGTAAACAACAATAATAAAATTTAAAAAAAAAACCCAGAAATCCCCAATATACTCAAAGCCAAAAAAAATAATAATTTGCTAGATCTCAACGAAACCATAGATTTGAAAAATAAAAAAGCTGCTGAATTAATAAACCAAGAGAATATTAATATTAGGAAAAGGAAAGTAAAACCTTCTCAGGATCGCCGCCCTTATCAGGGTGGTTCTTGATGGCGGCTTTTCTATAAGCCTTCTTTAGATCGTCCTGCGAAGCGGTCTTTGAAACTCCAAGGATCTCATAATACTTGCTGTTATCGCTTTTCTTTGGAGCTCTCCCAAACATTCTCACTTGTTACCCTTAATCTGTTAAATAATTAAAAAATAAATGATAAAAACCACCAATAAATTTCAAAAAATAAGAAAGAAAAAAAACCTAAATCCCAGAACTGGGTTTTGAAATTGATACAGAGAAAGATTATAGAGAGCTAACCGATTTTGAAATTCGATTAATTGGAGGTATGTCGTCGGACAGAGCAGAGAGAAGAACGAGAGAGGGCGAGAGAGAGAGGAGTGTTGGTTCAGGGATCTGTGTATTAAAGCGAGGGAATGGACGGCTGCGATTGATTGTCATCGAGGTGGTCGCTAAGGGTTAGTATTGACATTTCACATGCGAATAAGGAAGGATCTAGAATGTCTTTTTGCTTTTTACCCTTTACCCTTTACCTTTTTTTTATAGAAACTTTAACGAAAAGCTTCTGGTACTGTTCACTTTAACGAAAAATCATACTATTCACTTTACCCTTTATTTTGTCCTTATCATTAAAACTCAAAGTTTTCAAACCCTTTTCATTAGTTTTCCTTTTTTTTATCTATTTGCCGGAATATTGTTTTTTTTTCAAAGAAAATTGTTTTAGTATTAAAAAGGAATAGTGTTTATGTAAATCAGAAGTAGAGATTTATTTTGTGTTATTGTATTATTTGGGCAACAAGTATTTTTTTCATAAACTAGTATAAATGAAGGCACAATTTAACATATAGAAATTTTCTAGCATTTCTCTCTCTCTATAGTCGCTCCTCTCATTCTCAATTTTTTTGGTTTATAACATGTTATCAGCACCCCCAAATGTTAGGTTTCGAATTTGGAGAGGTCCCCTAAAGAACGGAGTTTGGTAACATCGATCAAATACTTTTAAACATGGTTTCAATTTCAATATCTTCCAGTTCTTGATGGCATGAATATTCACAATGACCACGAACTCTAATTTTACGTTGTTCGAATAATATATCTTGCCTTAATTTATATTTTGATTATTCAATTCGATTGCAAATATTGGATTTTTGTATTGGTTTTGAGAATGCAGATATAATGCATCTGAAGTTCATATTAAATGTTGAATTTATAGTTTCGAGAGATGTCATAACAATGTGAAGTTTTATAAGACATATCACTCATGTTGAAATCCGAAGTTCCTAATCAAATCAAATCATGTCTTGAACAAGCATGTTCAAATTTTTTATGTTTACATATTTTTTTTTATCTTACCATAACACTAACAGCAACTTTGTTCCCTCAGCAAATATCGACCTTAACAAGCTCGATTTCATGCAACCGAGGGCTACAAAATATTGAATTTGAAATCATGTTTTCGAAGTACTTGATTGATGTGACCAAACTCCGTCCAAGAGGAATTACACATTTTGCATGAATGATGTTCCGTGCTCTGACAGATTCACTCCATGGTTGTCGACCCTATTTCAATCGCGTACTTAGTCATCATGTTGGCTATCGTATTAAAAAAAATTCATAATTTCTCAAAACATTTATTAAGAACATGTTGTTCAAAAACTTGTTTGGTATGAGATTGAAAATTGTTTTTAAATTTTAATAATTAAAAAGAAAAGAAAATTATCCTACAACAACTCAATTTTATTTAAAATTGCTCAACGGCTTCAACAGCATTGTTTTGTCCGTGGAGAACAACAAATTATAGCAGCAGCTGGCGAGACTAAAAGGTCGTACCCAGTGCAAAGGCTCCTGCTTTACGCAGGGTCTGGGAGAGGTGAATGTCGGCTAGCCTTACCCCCATTTTATGGAGAGGCTGCTCCCAAGTCTCGAACCCGAGACCTACCGCTCATGGGCGAAGGCACTTGCCATCGCACCAAGTGCGACCTCTTGCAGCTGGCGAGACTGCAAGAGGAAAATCTGAATGGCACTCTACCTTGTTTAATCAGAATTAGACACTCTTCAGTTGCATAATTACTAAAAACATCAATATTACAGACGCCCCGCCACGTACAATTTGGTCAGGTACCTGAAAGCTGCGGGAAGGAGTATAACGATCTACATTGTTTCTGTTATCTTGAAATAATTTCCTGGAACATCTAACTTCCACCACCCGACTAGCGTTTCTGCAGAATTATGAACTTGGAATTCCCTTTACTTTTTTCTTTTGGCTAAAAGAAACACACATGAACCTGCATAAGATGGGGAAGTCCAGCACCCTGCAAGGCTTGATAGCAAACACTAAGGACGGGGAAATGAATGCCACCACTTTTGTTTGCAATAACCAAGCGCCCGAACCTGGTTAATGTACCACTGCACGATTCTGCTCTAAATGAAATAACCGGAGAAGATGAGTTTGATATCCTGAATAACCTGCCAAACCATCCAAAATGATTCCTTGTTTATCAAGGTTTCAGCCCAAGACGTTTCCTTGTCTTTCCTACAAATAAGTCCCCGGATTTGATCATGCCTGGGATGCAACCACTAATTGTCACTAATGGGAACTGAGCAATTCCCTCTTTCCTCCCAAGTGAAACAAGTGCCATTTCTAAACCAGGCTTATATGTAGCCATCTTGCTTTCATTTCGTCCGCTCAACAATAGCTTCAGGTTCTCGGCAGTCACTTCAGCATGTCTTTGTGCTAAATATCCTTGTTTGATCTCCTGTTTCAATAGATTGTTTTTATTAGTTTAAGACAGATTTTTTTTTAAACATAAAAATTCGTAGACATTGATAGTGAAAATGACGAACAAAATCGCAGCAAAGGTTGATCTAACTTTTTCACCAGACTCATAACTCATACGGCTGTTACTTCTTGCCAAAATGACTTTGAACCCTTACAAAAACAAGAAGTCAATATTACCGAGTATGAGCAAAATCTAAATCAGAGCTGTCATATTGCGCTGGGGTCTGTAGTCTGTTCAACATTTTGTTCTTGTTATACCTATCTTTGTGGTTTCTAAATTATCTTTTCACTTTAGTATGAGGTTTCTCAAAATAAGAGCTACTTATTGGTGATATGTCCTTACCCATATTCTCTACAAAACACTGTATCATACTGAAAACTCCCCATTTATCAATCATCCTATTTTTTTCTTGTTTGAAGTTATTTATAAACTGATAATTTTGCTTATTTATAAACTGATAATTTTGCTGCTTATTAACCACATGACTAGAAGTTTTTTGCATTGTTTCACGAAATAGAAATATCAAACAAAGTTCAGGCCTCATAATATTCCAAAACTTGTTAAACTATAGTCGTACCCAGTGCACAAGGCTCCCGCTTTACGCAGGGTTTGGGAGAGGTGAATGTTGGCTAGCCTTGAGAAAAGCAAAATAGCGTCATGATTGCAGTTCTGCCTCTACCATCAAACAGTTAATTAACTCTATAATTTTTCGGTTTTATAATTAGCTCAGGTGTTTTTCGGCCCCTAGCATTTTATGTGAATCAAACCCTGAATTTTTTCCCATATTTATCCAGCCCCTCAATAGTTACTTATATTTACAACTTGTATGCTAACCACTAACCATGACCTAGTTAGTAGTTACATTCCAGATTTGCACTTTTTAACTTTAGGATCCTCGAATTTGACTACCACCACCTATTTGTCCATGTGTAGAACATATCAGGTCCACATGCCTCAAACAAGGAGTTTCTTACTAAATATTGACTGCCAATAGCAAAACCAAAAAATAAAAAGTACTAAAAACACAAGAGAAAGATAGATTTGGCTGACCTTAACATCGGTTATATCTCCTACTGCAAAGATATTTTTATGACCACGAACCCTCATGTTTCTATCAACCATCAATCTTCCTTGCATATCCAAGTCATTCTGTAAAATACTCTCCCTAAGCCATGACGAACCCATTGGTTTAGCCGTGCACACAAAGTGGCAATCAGCTGCGATAACTTCTCCAGAAGATGTTTGAATAAAACCATCAGATACATTGTTCAAATTAACGGACTCATTCAAAACAACTTCAACATTTTTTGATATTAACCAATCAAGTGCCTTTTGGGAAGCCTTCAAGCCAATGAATTCTAGTAGCCTTGACCCCCTGTGCACAAGTGTCACCTTCTTTTCTGGAAAATCAATGGCAATTTCACCAGCAAGTTCAACACCAGTAGGGCCCCCTCCAACAATCAGGATTGATTCAGCAGAATTGATCTTTTCGAACTCTGGACACAGAAAGAGAATAAATTCAGATTTGATGCCAAAGGCTTCATCAAATGGTGAACAATTAAGACGTAGAAGTCAGCGTTAAGTATTGTAGCCTTGTCAGAGCACCTTCACGAAATTAAAATTAAAATTCTATTTTCATTATTTTCCTTTTCCTTTTTAGGACGGAGCCAGGATTTTTTCTTGGGTGTGCTATAGCTCTAAGCTACGTAACCTATTAAAGGAGCCTCCTAATATTGTTTCTCATATCATTGATCAAAATATACATATAAAAACACATTCAGGATAAATGAAATCATTATGAACAAAACTCAACAGCAAGAGTACATTTCATTAATAAGTAACAAATATATACCTAGTTTTTTTTTTTTTTTTTTTTTTTGGGGGGGGGGGGGGGGGGGGTGGGGGGGCATAAGGAGCCTTCCCTCAAAAATGCACAAGAAGCATACAACATAAGTAAGAAACAAACATGCTATGCAAGTATGTACAACAGAAACTACTCAAGTAAAATCCTAATATAATGAGAATACTTCAAAGACTCAAACAATTCACAAAAATCTATTCTATTAAGAGAGGAGCCCTTGTCAACTTCCCCCCCCCCCTTTTTTTCTAATTTTGCACTCACTTTTGAATACACAATATTGACATGAGGAGGGCTAAATAGTAATTTTGTACTTTTTGACAAAATGACAATCATATCCCTATTTTTCCTATTTTACCCTCTTTTTTTTTACAAAATGACAATCATATCCCTATTTTTCCTATTTTACCATCACTTTTGATACACAATATTTACATAAGGAGGACAAAAAACAGTAAAATATGCACTTATTAAGAGAAATTGTCCCACCATCATTTTTTCATACTTTTTTAAAATTTTAAAAACTAATCACACTCCTTAATAAAAAAACAAAAAATAAAATGAAATTGTTCACACACACAAAGTGTGTGCTCATCGGCTAGTATATAATAAAAAAAACTCAACAAACATAAACAACCAAGTACAATCCTAACTCCTTAATCCCATAACCTAAATTAAGTGAAACATGTGAAGTATTAAAGCTTCTTAACACTTACTCGGGTAAGCTGAGTGGGACTAAATCATTTCAACTACTACTGGTAGAGCGGTTAAAAGTCCACAAATGCAATCTCAGAGAAAAAAAAAGTAAACGTATGAGATTTCTTACATGAGTTATGTGGATTTATAAGTTAAGTTTAATTTGAAATTGGGTGAAGTACTAAATGCAATAGCTATCATAAACAGTGACCACAAGACCACAAATGCAGTGATACTTATGAATCTTTATGTATTACCTGCCTGGTACTGACTGAGCCTCGCAACTCTGGTTTTTGGAACAGAGTCCTTGTGACCAGTGGCAATAACAAGGTAATCATATACAAGCAAACGGCCATCTGTAGTCAATACTTCACGGTCTGTGATGTTAGCTGCAGTAGATGCAACAATCCGCACATTTGGAAGGTAATCGCAGTGATTAATGATGGATCTTTTGGCAAATGATGGCTCCACCATTGCCCTCAAGCTTCCCCATGGGATCTCAAAATACTCCTTCCTAAGGTGTAAACAAAAACGTCATTAAAAAGGAACAAAGAATAAAATAACTTGATACATCAATAATTATAGTTGTATCGATACTAAATTATGCATACTGAGGAATAAGTGGACATGAAACCAGAAATGACGCAAAAGAAACCATGATTCTTGTTTACAAATAAGTAATCTACTGGAGAAATTCCAAGAGAGCATCAACCAGGTACAAAGAAGGATAACTAAAACCAGAGAAAACACATCATCTTAATCATAAATAAGATGGGGACATGTAATAAAACTCAAATCAAGGGAACCATGACAGGTCTTGGTTGTTGCATGTAGGTAGGGAAATGATAGGTGTCTTTAACATTCCAATTTAATATGGTATGAGCAGATGTATTTAGCATGGTCAGATGATGAGAGAGAGAGAGAGAGAGAGAGAGAGAGAGAGAGAGAGAATACATGGTTACATAGTATTTTTACTTCATGTTGCGCCATAAACATGTGCCAATTTAAACTGGAAAAAACTGCCTTACTCAACAGTTGCATGACAAAGTAATGCATTTTACCATTCAAAACGTTTAAACAGGTCATCTTGAATCTTCTACATGCAAAACATGGCTAGTTCAGTGACACCACTTCCTTCTTTTCATCTATCATGTTTACTATCTCCACTGGAGTAATTAATAGACAAGTACACCCAAAAAGCCTTGCGCTGCCTGCTATACATGATCATTGATCAAACAATTGAAAAATTCATAAAACAAATAGAACAAAAAATTGTAAATAGTTTTATGTTAAAAAAAAATTAAACAAAAAAGTAATAATATGGTAAAAGAATGAAACGAAGTCCAGTGGCGTTTCTTGTACACTCCTGATGAAAACTATTACTAAATAGGGGTACACCTAGTTTTCTTCCCTTTCTACGCTTTCATCTATGACAAAACTTCTTTCTTAAACTCTTCAATTGGTGTCTGAGCTAAACTCATTGATTACGATCTTAGAAAGCCTGAAAATCATGAAGATACTTATTTGCAATAAATCTATTCTCATCCATTTAAACCTCGAATGGTGTTAATATGCCTCAGCAGCTGAGCATCATTTCATTTTTCAAATTATTAGAAAAACTCGAATATTCAGTTGAAACTTGCCAGGAGCCACCACATCACAAGTCGAATATTTGGTTTCCCACACATAAATTTAAAATATCATTGGTTCAAAAGGTACAAACCAAGATCGTTGGGGCACAAATGCATCCACAAAAGACAGCAAGAGCAACCACAGAAATCACAATGACTTAGATCAGTACCCTTAGTCTATTTCACCATTTCAGACTACTTCTTCCAATAATCATGAGCCATAGCCTCCTCAATTCAAACATCTGAATCCTTTATTCTACTGTCATTCAGCTAAATAATAAGCCTTAAGGTAATTCTACCTCATTGCATATTTGCAAACCGTCTCCTTTTTCCACAGAATCATTGCTTATTCATCTTCAGAGAAAAGACATTTCCATAACTTTTACTTTCAATCTGAAATCAATTCCATACATATTTCATTCAAATCGGTGCTTTCAGGATAGAAAAGAACTGTTGCTTGTCCAGACATCAAGTACCTCCTGTTCATGTGAATTAGCTGTGTTTGGTATGCAGTCTTATCAAAACTAAACCCTCACACCGCCTGCCCTTCGTCCAAAAACAGAAAGGGGTCTAAACTACGCTCAAAATCCGGGCTGTAAATTGTCTTTGTTTTCAGTTTCTTCATCTTCTATTCATGCAGCAATAAGGTTGCACTTGCACCCCCTACTGGTCTCTATAGTGAATTCTTATCGTAGAAGGTATCCCTGCACTTGACTTTTCTAAGATAACTATCTACGGAACCCAGCAACACAGAAACTAGAGGAGCACATCATTTAGAAACATCTTTCAAAATACATGATTTACATTATCCCAATACATCCTTCGAGAAATCATGAATCACTAGCTTTGTAGGATTGTCCGATAAATATGAGTTAGCATTCATACATGATTTACATTAGCCCAAAGAACCATGAAAATAAAAGCAATACCACTCTTTTTCTTACTACTATTCCTACATCAAACAGCACCATAATAAAAGTTACACAAAGATATATATATTATTTGCACAAAGGCTCTTTATTTTAGTTTCTCGGTGCAGATAGCCGGGCTTTGAGTGAAGTGTGCATAGAGAACGGACCTCTGTTAAATTAAAAGTTAGCTTTCTGTCGGCTCATAAGGTTATCATTTTCTCTAAATACACAGAAAACCAATCCAATTGCAAAATCAAATTCTATGACCATATTCTGCCGCATAACACAGCATAGCATAGCAAATTCAAGGTCATTGATAAAAATTGAAACTCCTCTCTCTGCACTCAAGTTCGAATTCCCTCCCCGTAGTTTAAATAAGATTAAAGTATTGCTGAATGATCGTCGGATGATAGAAAACAAGTAAAGTAATGGGTTTAGAAGCATGGCTTACTGATCAACAAGGACAACATCAGCGCAGAACTGGAGAGAATGGGCTACGACGGAGCCGCCGACGCCGCCTCCAATCACCACCACTCTTTTCATCTCCGCATCCGATGACTCTTGCGCGGCAGCCATTGAAATTGAGAAGCGAGTAAAATGGAACCGCTTTCCCCTCAAGAAGAAGAAGAAGAAGAAGAGAGGCGAATGAATGAGGAGATTTTTGGTAGTTACAACTTTAGTTGCTTTGCTTTGCCAGTTCACGTGCACGAGTGGTATGAGTTTTTGGGTGTGTGGTTAAACCAGCTACCAACTGAGCGTTTCAATGCCATCGGTTTCCTTTTCTTTTTTTTTTTCTTTTTTTTTTTCCTACACCGCATAGTTTTGTTCCAGAAGCTTTTCCCCTCCAGGAATGCGATGCCCTTTAAAACTTTATTTATTTACTTTTTTAGTGGACGGATAGGGTAGGAGATTCCGAAGATATTTTTATTGTGCCGGGATCGCAGTTTAGTATATTATGTTTCATAATATAATTTGACAAATTTCTTTTTTTATTAGTTTTCAATTAATTATATTATAATACTTGATGTGTCAAATATTATTTTCGTCATCCTAAAAAATATTTTGAGAATTGGGAGGGATTGTGATAAAATTTTCAGGCTCAACATTGTTCATCAATTTTTTTAATTGTGCTTTAAAAATTAAGTAGTTTTAAAATAAAATAGTTAATATTTGATAAACTATTCTAAAAGGCTATGAGTATGAAAAAAGTGAAAAAAAGTTAGCTTAAAACGTATTTTTTAGATCTCCTATTCTTATGCATTCATTCCCATATCGTTTAATTAACTTGTTGATATTTGTGGAGTAAAAAATAATCAAGAAAATTATAGAAGTGACAAATGTACTTTTGGATAAAAAGATAAAATTACCCTCGAGGCACACTGGGATTCCCACGCGCATGCAACGGACAATAACGGCTCAATCAAGGAAGAGTCAAATATGATCAAAATAGTATTTAATCAAAACTCTCTCATCACACCTCATCAAATCCTCACTCAAAAGTAATTCCCAAATTTCCTATTAAATTTGGAATTAATTGTCAAGTTAATTGTAAGATATTATTTCTCATAATATATTACAATTACACTCACAATTTGACCATATGTGACCGGCCCCTATTCTCCAAATAGAGCCGGTCACTCCCTTATAAATAGCCATATTTTCCCACTAAAATGCTAAGTCACTCTCTTCCCAAAAATTCTCAAATACATTCTCTCTCAAATTCTTAATTTTGGCATCGGATATTCTTCGGCAAAGGCCCCATTCATCGAGGGCGCGTAAGGCTTTTCGCCTTAATTTTAAGGCGGCGAAAATTTGTATCCATAATATTGTTGGAGAAAGGAAATTTTGGTTTAGGGAAATTTTATTTCAACCCATGCAATCTCTTTCTACACCCAACTTACTCATTACACCCATATTATTTTTAACTAAACTATCAATATCTTTTTAAGCCCAAATTTACTATCTAAATTACCCTCACTGGCATGCCTCAATCCTGATGTCCGAGGGACATCGGAATGGTCACGTGTTGGCCGACACCCGAAAGTGACGAAAAGCCATTTAATGAATGCATATGCTAAGAACATGTGAAACGTGCATGTAAATTTCGCGCGTAACTACGCAAAGTGATATTCAAATATAAGTCTTAATATTCAACTGCCAACAATGAATCTAATGATAATGCATGTCATGTTCAGAATATACAACTAATTCAGAATACAAGCAGAAGGTGAAATCACAATGATGTCAAAGTAGAAGAGATGGCACGATGTCACTGTTAAGGGAATGCCTCGTAGTTTGGGTCGTAATTCTCGTTCCTATGTCCTAACTAGTGGTATCAGTATCATTCGGCTCGAAGCTAGTACGTATATCTCTCGGCCCAAAGCCATCTACATATATCTCCTGCCAGCCATATATTTCCCTCACTCATATATCTTTCTCGCCCGTAGGTAGAACAGTGACCACTAGATACACACAAAATCATTTAACATAGTCTTTCCAAACATAGATACATATATCTCAAAACATCTTCATAGCATATAGTCATCCATCATATATACTACAAAGAAGTGTGTAAAAGCATATTCATAAATAGCATATAGTCTGTTTGTACCATACTTAGGGCCTCTGTATTTAGATCTCGTATAAATACTCGGGGGACTCAAATGTAATTATGTAATAAATGAAGGGGCAAATAAGTAAAAAGGGGAGGAGCCCTTAGTTTATAAAAAGGCATCATCACCCTCACAATCCTCAAGCCTCACTCTCATATTCAAAGCTCTCTCACCCTCACAATCCTCTCACAAACAGAGAAATACAATATCAGTGTGGACGTAGCCCAAACATTGGGGTGAACCACGATACATCTTGTGTTCTTTACTTTCTTACAAATTCACGGTCGGATTTACATTGTTCCAAGACCCCTCCGGTTTTGTGCATCAACATTTGGCGCCGTCTGTGGGAATCGATATGAAAAGTTGTGTCAGTTCTTTTTCATTTTTTTCACCTCCACCGTGAATCTACAAAATCACAAAAACCCAAGAAACCAAACACCTACGGAGGGACTGAAGAATCTGACTCTCTCTCTCATCGCCATGCAGACCCTTACCTCATCCCCACCACTTCTATCTTTTTCTTCTCCTTCTAGCTACCCTTCCATTTTACCAAACAACCTCCTCTGAGCTCTCTCAGCTTTGTCAAGCTAGCCATGGCCAGTACTAAACTCGTGGTGGAAGTTCACGACGCAAACGGCCTGATGCCCAAAGACGGCGACGGGTTTGTGAGTCCCTCCATTGAGGTCGACTTCGAGGGGCAGCGGCAGCGAACTCAGACCAAGCCCAAAGACCTCAATCCTTACTGGAACGAGAAGCTCGTCTTCAATATCGACGACCCATCTCACCTCTCCCACAAGACTGTCGATGTTGTCATTTACAATGACAGAAAAATCAGACACCATAAGAATTTCCTTGGTCGTGTGTGAATCTCTGCGCGACTCCGTCTCTCTCTCCGAGTCTCAGGCCACCGTCCAGCGCTACCCGCTTGATAAACGCGGCCTCTTCTCCAATGTCAAAAGTCGGGGTCATCACCGACCCGCAGGGATGTTCACCAATATTTTACAGCCATGGCCGCCGTGGCCACCTTCTCCAATGTTTTGCAGCCATGGCCCCCGTTGCCTCTAAACTTTATTTCTGAACCTGCAACACGTATTTAATACGAATCAATCAACGGATCGCATGGCCTCTGTAGGAGCTACCGCGGACAGGCTGTTTCAGTGCGTGTACGAGGGTTGCATATTGGGGTCGAATATCGGAGTGGAACGGCGCCCGTACCACCACAATTACGGTTGTGTCCTACACAACAAGTCACGTAACAAGCAATGCACCCACGGAGGGCCTAAGAGTAAGAAAGTGTCGTATCCGCTGAGGCGAGCTTGGAACAAAGGGAACCTGTCTTTGGTGGCTTTCGCCGGTTCTTCCGTGCACTTCTCGCCGTCTTCCTTGCCAGCTCAGCACAACCACGTGGTCGAGAGGGCACATCATCGACGACGCTCACATCAACAATTGGATACTTTGTGTGATGAGGATAAGGAGGATGAGAAAGAGGATATTGTTTTCTTCAAGGTTTGATCTCCCAAAGTCTGCGATGCGCATGATTCGTATATGGGTTTTGGCAGATGTGAACAAAAGCTCCCAAGCCTGGGGATGTGAACGGAAGCAGCACGGCATCGGGGTGACTGACACCGTTGTGGAGCCATACAATGCCACCCTTTCCATCCATCAGCTTGTCAAAAAAAAAAAACAAAAAGTAAAAGCGAAAGCAAAGCAGAAAAAAAAAGGAAACAAAGGCAAAACCAATCAAGTGAGCTGCAGCACAAAAGCAAAAGAGAGAGGCGCAGTGGGAAACAAAAGCGAAAGCAAAGCAGAAAAAAAATCGAGAAAAAGCAGAAAGCAAAAGAGAGGCTTTCCTCTGCGAGAGCACATGGGGACACTGCAAAAGCAAGGAATAAACACCCCACCAGAATGATGTGATTTACTTTTCTTGTTTTTGAATGATGTGATTTATTTTTCTTATCTTTTGGAGACATCTGTATAACCCCATCAGAGGGTAATAAAAAAAATAAAAAAATAAAAAATAAAACGGCAAGCCCAAAATAATAGGCTAGAATGTTATGGGCGAATGCCCATATGCTCAAAAGAGCCAGACCCTCTATTATCACCAACCAGGTGATCAAAAGTACGTCCAGTACTACAAAAAATTATTCGGCAGCCTGCTGCTATTATCACCAACCAGGTGATCAAAAGTACGTCCAGTACTCCAAAATTATTCGGCAACCTACCGCTATTATCACCAACCAGGTGATCAAAAGTACGACCAGTATTCCAAAATTATTCGGCAGCCTGCCGCCATTATCACCCACCAGGTGATCAAAAGTACGTCTAGTACTCTAAAATTATTCGGCAGCCTGCCGTTATTATCACCCACTAGGTGATCAAAAGTACGTCAAGTACTCCAAAATTATACATGAGTATCACTCATGTCAATCATACATAAACATTCATGAACATCACTCATGTCAATCATACATAAACATTCATGACCATCATTCATGACAACATTCATGAGCATCACTCATGTCAACATTCATGAGCATCACTCATGTCAACATCCATGAGCATCACTCATGTCAATCAAACATTCATGAACATCACTCATGTCAATCAGCTTCAAAAGTTTCATTTACAAAAGTTCCCGCTTCAAAGCTTCACTTGCAAAGCTTCACCTACAAAACTTTAGTGCAGGGTATACAAATACCGCATCCGAACAACTCCCACTTCGGCCCATACATGGATTAAATTTGAAGTCTCCAGCCAACAGCCTCTATTGACTGAAGACTTGTGGGGGACTACACTATGTACCATATATTGGGCTTCCACAACTGGGCCTCATGAAAAATCCTTGGGGGACTTAACCCATCACTTATGTATTGAGGAGCGAGCCCTTATTCTATAAAAGGGAATCCCTCACTTTCATTAGAGATCACCCATTATTCATGTACTAAGGAGCGAACTCTTATTCTATAAAAGGGACTCCCTTACCGTCATTAGATAGCATCGCCGCCTACTGAGCAACCGCCTCGCCGCGAGCATCAACTCTAGCCCATCATTTATGTATTGAGGAGCGAACCCTTATTCTATAAAAGGGATTCCATCACCATCATTAGAGAGCATCGCCGCCTGTTGAGCAACCGCCTCGCCGCGAGCATCAACTCTAGCCCATCATTTATGTATTGAGGAGCGAGCCCTTATTCTATAAAAGGGACTCCCTCACCATCATTAGAGAGCATAACCGCCTCGCCGCAAGCCGAGCCAAGCAAGGCAACATAAGCCACAAGCCGAGCAACCTCGCAACATGTGCTACATCTAGTTGAGCATCATTTCACATTGAGCACCGCCTCATATCAAGTATTCAGTTCTAGACGACATCTAGTTACTTCGGCCCACACATGGACTGAATTTCAAGTCTCCAACTAAAAGACTCTCTTGACTGAAGACTTGGGGAACTACTGTTTATACCATACTTAAGGCCTCCGTATTTAGATCTCGTATAAATACTCGGGGGACTCAAATGTAATTATGTAATAAATGAAGGGGCAAATATGTAAAATGGGAGGAGCCCTTAGCCTATAAAAGGGTCTCCTCACCCTCATAATCCTCAAGCTTCACTCTCATATTCACAGCTCTCTCACCCTCACAATCCTCTCACAAACAAAGAAATACAATATCAGTGTAGGCGTAGCCCAAACATTGGGGTGAACCACAATACATCTTGTGTTCTTTACTTTCTTACAGATTCACGGTCGAATTTACGTTGTTCTAAAACCCATCCAGTTTTGTGCATCAACATAGTCATCCATCATATATACTACAAATAACGTCATTTCGATAAAATATAGTATTCCAAAATATTTTCAGTAAGCATAATATCTCATAAAACGTTTCATAAAGCGTAATCATTAAAATCATGTTTTCACGTATGCATTTCTACTATTAAAACATGCATTTTAGAAGGGGTTCACTCACAGATACTCCGTCATCGAAGAGCCGTATAAAATGGGAATGACGGAATCGCTGCTAATAATTACACCTAAGCACATAAAGGGTCCAATTAATAAAACTAAACTTAAACGGTTGAATTTCGGAAAACAGACGTCATAAACGGGTTTAGGACATCGAAAAACATAAACAAGGACCTCAGGTACGGTCACACGCTGCGCCAGGCGCCCTCACGCTTTGCGGCAAGGTGATGGCTCTGGCGGCCACGCGCCACCGTGGGTCGTCGATGCCCCTATGGACGGTGGAGCGTGTGCTGTACACGCCAGTGCCGGTAGCCCTTCACACATTGTCTGGGGTCCGTTTTGGTTGGGTTTGGGCATGGGCTTGTAACTAGGCCGGGGCTTAAAGGGTTTTGGGCTTGAGGCTATCGGCCCGGAGACCCAAGCTTGATGGCCCAAGGGCCTGGGGTCCAAGGGTTTTTGTGAAATCCCATTCCTGGATTTTATTGTTATAATCTACGTATTTGTATTATTGAGATTTTATATTATTTTTCGAGAATTTATATTAATTTATTTGAATTTAGATTTCAATTAAACTAGTTACGAAGTTTGAAGTTTGGAAATTAATTATTTAAAATTCGTAGACCTTTGGAGGTCACAATTTATATTTTCAAATAGATCTCAAAACCACGAACGTATAGGCGAAAGCCATTTGCGAGTCCGGATTATAACGGTATAGTTAGAGACATTTGAAGTTGTTATACTAAACTATAGTTTTTAAATGAGATAAACCCTGACCATGTGGGAGTTTAAGGGAGCCAATTAGAAGTAATGAAGGGAGCCAATCAGGAAAGAAGAGGAAAAAGAAGGACCAATGAGAAAAAGGGAGAAAAAAAAAGGGTGATCTCCCTTCCAACCCGCGCGCACACCACTAACCCGGTTTCAACCCGACTTGATTTCGGCTTCCTTCTACCATTTTTTTCCGTTGAAACGCCACACCCACCACTTGCAACCTCTTCCACGATCTCCCATCTATCATCTCCGCCCAAGATTGTGGGTTTTTAGGTCCAAATTCGCAAGGAACATCACCGGAGTTCAAGGGAGGGTTTGATGGCAATCCACCATTTTTAAATGTAATCTCATTGATCTCCACCACCATTAGACTCCCCTTAAGCCTTGGAACAAAGCCCAATCAGTTTTAGGGGCGACGAAACATCGGAGTGGACGAATCGAAGCTCACCCATTCTAGGGTTTCCAACGGGTGCGAGCTAATTTGGGGTCTTTCCCAGCAAAATTGGACTTGGCCGCAGGTATAAAACTTACTCTACTTATTGAGATCTTCATTCTGTAAATTTTGGTAATTTAAAACAATAGTTGAATTTTTCCGGCAAGTCGGGGCGGCGGCCTGGAAAATGGGCCGACGATGTCCTTTTAAGTTCAAATAGATGCCTTGATTCATAATTGATATCCGTATGACGTAATTTGATTGTTTGGACTTAGTTTCATTACGATACCTTACTTGGTCAAAATATGAATCAACTATCTGACCGTTGGATCGTCACCAAACCTTAATGCGTGTTAGAACATAATATTTTTGGATCATAGAAACTTACGGATCGGGAATCCGACGTACGGATCTTCCCTAATTGGATTTCTAAGTTTGTAAAATAAATTGTTAACCGCCACTTAATTCTAGTAATCAGCGGAGATCTGACCGTCGGATCGCGATGGAATTTTAGTATATTGTTCTAGAAGCATAATGTGGACTTTGGGAAGTTATGGATCCGAAATCGATGTGCGGATCATCAAGATCAAATTACGTAGAGTTGTGGACCCTATCATTGACCGAGAGTTGATTTGTGGTCAACACGTCTCGAAACGTTATAAATAATAAAATTTGTACTACTGGACTAATTGAAGTCTAGTGGGTCTATATTAGTTAGATAGTGACTTGAATACATGAGATATGATTATTATCTTAATTTCTTATATTAGTATCATTTGTGAATATGAATTGGTCTTATCAGTATGATTCTATTAAAATGTGATTTTATATATTTAGCCATATACCTATGCTTATTAATTAGGATTTGGCTTGTGTACTGATGATGCTTGTGATATCTCTGTAATAATGTGATTGATAATTATGATGAATGTTATGACAATTATGGGATCTAAATATTGTTTGATAAATATTTGGATATGATGGCCAACTGAATACCTATTTGAACTTGACATTACTACTTAGCATGAGATGGAGATGAAAGTCAGGAGATGAGTTATGTACTTTATTAGATTTTTAGTAGAAATAGTAATTAAGGGAATTCCTTATGTTGTGCTCCATATGACTAGATGCTAGTTGATATGGGAAATCGACAGCATGTATGCATATAATTATGTATAATGTGTGATGATGAGATTGCATCATGTAGTAGTGGTACATGGATGATCCTGCTTGGTATATCCACGATAGGGGACCATACACATGCTAGGAGTGATCATGCTTGGTATATTCGCGATGGGTGATCACTACTTAGAGCTATATGATACAGTCTTGCTTGGTATATCTGCGATGGGGGACTGTTATGGGTGATCATGCTTGGTGTATCTGTGATGGGTGGTCACTACCTAGAGTTAGGATGTGGTCCTGCTTGGTATATCCGCGATGGGGGACCATATGTATTCAGGGGTGATCATGCTTGGTATATCCGCGATGGGTGATCACTGCCTGCACGATGAGATTATGCCTATGGTTCTTCTTGGTATATCTGCGATGGGGGACTATACGCATTCTAGAGGTGATGATGATTAGTTGTACTAGGTACATTTGATAGGCAATCATATTTAATTTGGTTCCGTTGAATGGTCCGGAACCCGAGGTTGTTGAATTTCGTGGAGTAGTCTAAAAACCCATTATTTGGAGAAGTAGGCTTGGCCTAACTGTGTCACTCTAGCCTTAGTTTTATATATTTATTTGTGCCAACGGTTTCAAGAATCTTGTGAATTGAGTTAGAAAAAATGTTGGACTTTTGAGTGACTCTTTCAGGATTTTCTATGATTCGATTATGATGTCATAAGGTATGAATTTAGAAGAAATGGGAATAATTGTTATTACTTTGATCAAATTAATTAATTAATGCGGCTAGAGAATGGTTTTGTGTTTCGTCGGTTCTTCAATATGATGTATGTTGTGAATTGCGATATCATGATGAGACATAATGATTTATATGTTGGATGGGAGAGAAATCATGTTTTCATGGGAGTTTGTTATATAGCATGAGTCCAGGAATTACATGTTGTCAGTTTATAATAAATAATTGAGGAATACTATGCTTTTTTGCTTGAACTTAGTGGAATAAACGTCTGATTTTGTGATAAGTGAACTACGAATGACTTGATCCCTATTGTGGGTATGTAGGCAGTCTAACGAGGAGGTTAGATGCAGCCATAAAGTAAACGAAAAATTACTTTGCAATTTGATTCTCGAGTTGTGATTTGCCAAATCCTGGAGATGGGGTATGTGAGGTATACGAGTATTTGGTGACGTTATATGTCGATCCTGGACGTATGTCGGGATCGGGGCTGGGATTTCGCTCGAAGGTTTTGGGGGTTCGCAGGACCTAGTTTTGGGTGCCCTCTGGATGCCCGGAGCTTCACAAAGACGAAGAGAGAGAGAGTTACACGATGGTGGTGATGGTGCTGACGATCGTCTAGGTTTGGGTATGGGTGAGGGCGTCTGAGTGTGGAGATCGGGATAGAGAAAGAGAGAGATAAGAGTGAGTGAGCTGAGAGTGATTGGGGAGAAAAGAGAAAATGAGAGATAAGGTTAAGGGCTGCCACGTGGCAGGCTGAGAGGGAAGGAGAATCTAAAAGGGAGGGTCCGAATTGGTTAAGGATGTGAGGGACTAAATTGTAAATTTAATAAACCTTTAGGGAAATTTTGAAATTTACAATAATTTGGGGGTGGGGTTTAACACTCACAAATCCAATTTGATAGGCACATTTATCTTTACACCCATTTTCAAAAGGTAAAACATCAAAATCAAAGCATATGTTTTCTTCAAGCCTAAGCAATCTTGTAATTCTTTATAAGCAAAAAGATATTGAGGGATTGAAAGAATTATTTGAGGAATGGGATCCATTTGCTTTAGTTTTGATATGAGGTTGGCAAATGGTTCTAAACATGGGTAACTCAGTCATGGCATGCATGAAGAAGCAGAATTGGTCTTCGCAAGTGCCTGTAAGAAGACTAAAGGGTCTTTCATGAAGGCTCGGGAAATGCTCATGGCTCACGCCTTGAACACCTGTAAGGTGGATTTGGCTGTTAGCAAACTGGGAGCTGCTATTTTGGAAAGCAAGAACGAGGAATTGCATCCATCCCTAGATACCATAATTGCATTTCTCAAGTATTTTGAGGATGAGAAAGATGTTGATGGTGCTGAGAATTTTTGTGAGATTCTGAAGCGTCTAGGTTGTCTCAGTTGCAATGAGTATTATTTGCTGCTTAGGACTTACGTAGCTGCAGGAAAATCAGATCTTGAGATGTTTCAATGATGGGACATCGACTGAGTTTTTTCTTTGAGTTCATAAAATAATTAAAAATAAAATGATCGAAATCTTCAAAATCACTATTTATTGGTCAAAAAGAGCTTATTTTCTCTACGAGAGCTTATTAGGATTTTAGCCAGAATATGATGCAAGAGAAAGATTGCACAATAGTAAGGTTTGATTATTGGATGAGGGTTTATTGATACATTTTAGTTTTCTTGTTAATTTTATCTTATACTTTATGGTAATTGTGCCATAGGATAAAAAAGACAATTCACATTTAAAATTTAAGTTAGATGTAGAAAGATGTTATATGAGTTTAAATAAAATTTGTAATTGGTTTATTAAGATCGTGTATGCTCGTCATACGTTTCATCATTTGCAACATATTATTTCATCCAAGGTTATGGTGGTGCGCAAAAGTTAAAAGAAAATGTTGGAGATGGTTTTTATTGGTTGGACAAGTTTCGATGTTGGTTGACTGAGCAAGCTGACTAGATGAGCTCAACACGAAATGGAAAGTTGAGAATAATTGAGTGCAGTTAAAAGGAAGGCTGCAAGTCCGTCTGCTTCCGGTTGCTGTCACACTAACACCGGTGACTCGCTGAATCGCAGACGATGGCCAACAAAATAGAGGGGTTGAGCTTTGAGCAACGGCAAGGGAAACAAAGGGTTAGGGTGGCCAGGGTTTGGCGGAACAACGACGGATGCCATTCCATCGTCGAATGGAACGTCGGCATCAGCCTCCTCTCCGATTGCGTCAATGCCTATACCCGCGGCGACAACTCTGATCTCGTCACTACCGATACCATGAAGAACACTGTAAGTAATAAGCCTCTCTCTCTCTCATCGAATCAAATCAACAATCCACATGATCATCATTTCCATCCACTCTTATATTATTAGAGATTATGATTATGATCATAGATTATGATTAGTAAAATGATACCTTCTTATCTAGATTGATAAATTATTTGTTACTTTTCAAATATATATAAAATATATTCACACACACTTTTTTACCATACACACTCTGTTAATTTTTGTTCTTTAAACTCTTCAATTCATTTGATCCGACGAGAGGGGTGTGTGGATAGCACCACCCTTAGTAATATGATATCGTCTTATCTATGCTTGTCCATGGACGAATGGATGAAACTGCTGTGCAACATATCAACTCTAATGAACTATTGCTAATTGATTACTCCTAAGGCTTATATAGGAGCTGATCATGATTTTCAGCACCAAATGGCAAAAATATCGGTTGAAACTGCGGGCGAAGAAATTGGTTCCTCAGTTCAATTGATAAAAATAAAAGACGCATAAAGGAAAAGAATGTAGGAGTGATTAAAGAACTTAGCAACTAACGTGACTGCTTATGGACTCAAGTTCCAGTTAACACAATGATTAACGAAATACAATGTCCTACTGACACAAAAGAAAAAAATGTATGTAGACAATTAGACATCTATGTTTGTTAGCTTTCCCAGTACTGGAAATCTGCTATGTTTCCATCATTTAGATTGCTATTCGCCTTTGGGATTTAACCTAGTTGCAACACAGGTATATGTAAAGGCAAAGGAATGTAAAGAAGAACTTTCAGTGGAGGAATTTGCAGTTCGACTTGCAAAGCACTTCACATCGCTTTACCAGCAGGTAAATACTATGTAATTTAAGCATTTTTTTTTTATTAAATTTCATTAGTTAATCCGATATTGTAGACTTAAAGGAAAAATGGTTGATACTTTTACTACTGTCGCTGCTGAAACGATGGCTGTAGTTGTTATTCTTGGTTGGCTTCCTGGTCTTTGTTTTCTCATATAACTGGTCTTCCTTTGGTTAGAGGTGCATCTTCTTCTAATGGTTTACAGTGTATATGTCATTATCAATAATTGGTGGTACTCACAGGTTCCTCTAATGGGTTAGTTATGAAATTAGTCTTTTCTGGTCACTTTAACTAGTCATGCTTTCATCTGGACATCTTAATATGTATTCCCTATCCCTGAAGGCATGATTCATGGAAATGAATTAATATTTCATTTATAGAAGTTTGTTTCTTTTAAGTTTGATTGGTTGTCTGAAGTTTGGACTTTTTTTGGCTCTCTCTCTCCCTCTCAAGTGTGAACATGAACACCCGCCCTCTTTCCCATACACAGAGTTTCACACTTTGAATACTGCCTTGTTGGAACTGCAGCAACTTCTTCTGGCCTTGTTTTATGCTTTTAGTATTTGCATAATCCAGAAAGAAAGCTGTCATTTTGAAATATAAAAACAAACTAAAAAAGGAGAAAGCTTTCTTCCCTGCAACATTTAGTATTAGTTATAGTAGTCTCCCTGAGAGAGACTTCGATAGAGATAGGTGAAGATTATTTGCATTAGAAATGTGTGTCTGCTCAAGCCTCCAATCTTTATTTCCAATTTCAAAGCAAGGTCTGGCTATTTATTGCATTATACATGTTAGGTGTTGAAAGATATGATATTTTGTTTCCACTTTAGCTCCATTTTTCCCACGGTTCCCGTTACGCCTTCAACTCTTATGATGCTAAATTTTCACGAACACTTCTTTTCAATAAAAAGAAATTTAATGATACTTCTTTACTACTTTTTTTTTTCTTGGGAAGCCTTGTTGGAGTATTGGTATGATGAGGAGTATTTTGGCACAAACTTCCTATGCCTACTGTTTAGACAGTATTCACATTTTTATCTTGCTTTTCATTTAAAGATCTTTCAAGTTGGCATCTCATGTTTTTGTTTTCTTGTAATATTTGTTGTTTGTAATAATTCATAGTTAGTGAAAAAATCCAGTTGTTCTTATTTCTGTAGGTCACTACTGCCATAGTAAAGATTGTGGAGAAGCCATGGGAGCGTGCATATGTAGATGGTCAACCCCACGAACATGGTTAGTCTATCTTCTGTCTTGCATAGGAAGGGCAAAGCTATAAAGTAACTGTATGTGATATCGACTATCTAGTGAAGACTTTATGATGCAGGGCAGTCCCAATAAGCTGCTCTCCAGTGGATAAAATAGGGCCAATATGAGCGGATTCCAAATAAATATCAGAAAATAGAGAGATAGAAGCAACAGAATCGAAGTAGCAAGGAAGATTTGAGTTCTAGGGACATTCCCATGAGAAACTCTTAAATCTGAAACTGGAATACATTCGATAAGAAACTGAGTACACGAGTCTCTTAATAGCCTATCTATACTAGAGTACATCTGCCTAGAAACCGTAATCCTTCTTTATTAAGAAATCTCATCCAACTAGTACTTACCTAATTAATCCAACTCCTATTAAGATTACTTAATAAAACCTATTAGATTTACATCAGACACATAGGGAAACATGAAAAATAATAAAGAACTAAACTAGCCAAATTAACTAGAACCGTAGCCTAATTCCTCAGTTGACCCAAGCAATCTTGAAATCTTTCTGGATGCTCCCCCATCACTTTAGAACCAGAAAACTTGGGAATTTAATTCACCATATTTCACATGATTATTTGCATTTAGCAATTTTCACCTATTTGCTCGATGTTGTTCCGTCATTCTATTGTATACTAAGATTGTTTATTAGCTGAGAGTCACCTCAACTTGGAAACTAAACAGCAATAAGTTTCGGGATTAATTTGTTGTCTAGTTGCTTGTAGAGATGACATATTGGATGGCATCTCCATTCTTGTTGCCTTAAACTTAAATCTTGTTAGGTTACCATTTGTTCTTATCAAAATGTTGAGTAGAAGTCCTTATATTACATATATTCTGAAAATATTTCCAAGCATATTGATTTGCAATGTGGAAACATCTATTCGTTTAATTTCTTTTCTTTTTAATTTTCTCCATCACCGTCTTTGTAAAGGTTTCAAATTGGGATCTGAGAAGCATACAACAGAGGTAATTTTTGAGAAATCTGGTGCACTTAGGCTGACTTCTGGTATTGAAGGACTATCTCTGCTAAAGACAACAAAGGTAATCTTATCCAATCAAATTTATATCAAGGTTTTCAAAGTTGAACGCGTCATGTGTCAATGGATATCAATGTCATAATCAATGCCTTTGCGCATAACAAGAAATCACCAATTGTAATTGCTCTTTTGTTTTTGAGAAGAAACCAAAATTTTATTAAAAAGAATGTCATGTGCACAATTATGGACAAGGAATCCACTCTCAATTTAGTGCAGCAAAGAACAAAACTCTCTTATTTGCCTCAACTTTTTGTTTAGGTTAAAAATCAGACATCTAAATTAAACCCACAATACATAAATCACTGAAGCTCAGTCTAGCAGCACTGACGACTTGGAGACTCCTTGAACTCTACTGTGAGTGAACCCCAAAGGGGGGAGACCAAAAACTAACTCAATCCAAAATTTCATCTACCCTGAATAATCCCAAAAACTCAATCTATTTAACTCCATCCAGATGATCTGGAAAACTGCCATGGCCCTTCTACGTGTAAGAGTTTTTACAATATTGTCTATTTTTCCAAGACTTTAAGCTGCATAAGAACCTCGTAACATCCGTATGGGGTCACCTAACTTGAATGAGTTTCCTTCAACAATTTCTACCAGATATCGTAAACGGACATTTAAGAAAAAGATGACTGACAGTTCCATCCCCAGCCTTTAAAGAATACACGATTGAGGGCAAAGATGCTTATACAGCCTTCTTTGAATCTGATTACAAGTATTAACTTTCCCTTTAGCCATAAAAAATGCAAGCACTTGAATCTTAATAGGAATCTTTGCCTTCCAAATTGGATAAAAAGGAAGTGGACCCACTCTCTCCCCCTGTTATCCCCCATTGATGGTAAATGTCTCTTGAACATTTATTCCAGCCCCTAACACCCCCCTTGAAGGAAATAGATCAGACCTCGAGCTTTGCTGACATGAAGGCAAACTTTTCCGACTAGTCGTTGAGATTCCTTATTCAAGTCTTAACTGTAAGGAAACACAGATGCATCTTAAAATCTTGAAGCTTCTTGATGCCCTTGCTGGAGAGTGATAAAATCTGGAAACATAACTTCCAATGCATCAACATCCAGCTACTTATGAGTTATCAAAATTTACTGTTTCGTGGTTTCTGACTAACATGGTATCATCTGCATGTGGTTGTATTATCACACTCATCCATTACCAATTTACTGAACAAAGAAAGGAGACAGAAAAGGTATTGCATTGCAGACATTACAAGCCGATGTAATTTGAGAAGACTTTTAACTGCTATTTGCATATTAGCATGCATGTATGTTCATTTTTCTCTTGCTGAGTTTGTTGGTTGATACTGATGATTTTTTGTTTGGATTCTGCCTGAGCAGTCAGGTTTTGAGGGGTTTATTAGGGACAAATACACAGCTCTTCCTGACACACGAGAGAGGATACTGGCTACAGAAATCACTGCATCATGGAAGTATGCATGTTTTCATTTGGTGGCGTGATATAATGCTTGTTGAGTGGTTTTCTAATACTTTGGTTTTCCTCAAGGTTTCTTCTGTATTATAGTCTTCAGTGGGTGGGTACATTGAGTCCAAAGTTAATTTCCACAAGTGTTTGGAGAATACAAATCTACTTTACTGAGATAAATTGCATGCAGGTACCAATATGAATCTATTTTTAGCATCCCTCAAAAGCCGCTGTACTTCACTGAAAGATACCTGAATGTGAAAAAAGCTCTCGCTGACACTTTCTATGGTCCTCCAAAGGAAGGAGTGTATAGCCCGTCCGTCCAAAGCACTCTGTTTCACATGGCAAAGACTGTTCTCAAGGGGTATTTCTCTGTCAGCGCACAAACATGCATATGCTTACCTGTATGACATCTATCTGTTTTTCTATTTTGCATTTTGTCAAATAAAATACTTTTTCATGTTCATGGTTACAGGTTTCCTGACATAGCAGCAGTACAACTGAAAATGCCAAATATCCATTTCTTACCTGTTAATCTATCTAACACGGATAATACTATTGTGAAGGTAAGACTTATACAAGTTTTTGCATACAAAATCTATATACTTATTTACCAACAGATTGAATTTCTGTACAGTTTATTTTGATTTGGTTTCATAATTTGTGTGATATGAAAGAAAGGTAGTTGGATGAGTATCTGGCCTTTTAGTTTGTACTTTCTTAAAAAGATGAAGGATCTGAGAGGGTTTCTAAAACTAAAACTAATACTAATCTTCAGTGGTTCTCATCCGTATATATATATAGTATTTGAAGAGAATAAATTGATTTCTAGCCAGTCTGGCTTATTACTCAGCAACTTTCCCAAACCAATATTTTCCTGCTATTCTGCTTAGAGCCATGTTGCTTTTTAGCTCACATCCCATGTTTCCTCGCAAAGTAGTTCTCCACTGCGGCGTGCAGTATAGTTTGCCTTCCTGGTTTCCTCAGCCCTCACCCTTCATAGCCTGTTTAAAGTCTAGTATGCTGGTGGTCTCCGCTTTGTCCATTAGTTCTGTGACACTGTTTGAAAACTGCTGTTTCTTTCACCATACTGGGATCGGTATTTCCTGTGCTTTACAGGTCCAATTCACATTTAGATCACGTAGGAAATAGGTTATTCATACAATGGCTAATATTCTTATGTCAAAGTTGTAATTTAAAATTGCAAATATTCTGTTAGGCATAGACTTTGTAGGAAACTAAATGTCTAGACTTCATCATTCGAATAATTTGCAAGTTGATAAAACCCAGTCAGTTATTGTATACAATATACATGTGTTTTAGAGGTCATGACAACAACAACAACCACCAAGGCTTATCCCGTTAAGTGGCGTCGGTTGTATAAATCCTAGAACGTCATTGCTCTTGGTTTTGCACTAAGTCTTCTGTTAGCTCCAAGTACTCCATATCTTTTCTTATAGCCTCTTTCAAAGTCTACCTAAGTCTTCCTCTACCCCTTTTGCCATGAACCTCCATCTCATAGTTGCATCTTCTAACTAGAACCATCTTAACCGGAGCAACTGTAGGTCATGACAGTGACGCATCTTTGAAATAAGGGATTAAGTTTACTGAGATGTGTGAAACCAAATCCTTGGTATAACGAAAACATAGAGATGCCAATGGAAGATTTTCAATTGCATGTGAATTTTTATGGTGAGGTCAATCTGTTATTTTATTCTTTCTTTTCTTGGGGTATTAGCTAATGCTGTGTTATCCTTTGACTTTGAACTTTTCCTTATCCTTTTCCGCTGTTTGCAGTTTGAGGACGATGTTTATCTCCCAACAGATGAACCACACGGATCAATCGAAGCTACTCTAAGCCGTTTCTGGTCAAAGATGTAGTGCTGCTCGCCATTTTTATGCATTTGTAATTGATAAAAAAAAATAGGCCGCATGCAGCTGCTTCATGTTAATTTATACTTTACTATGTATTATCATGATTTCCAAACTTTCATACGTTAAGTATTTTTTATCCCAGTGCCATTACCGAAAATGAGGATTTTGAGAGACTTTCATAATAGGCTTTCCGTCATAATTTATATTAACATGTGTGGCGTCCACGTAGATAATGACTGATAAGGATTATCCTATAATGTATTTTAACAATCTAACCGTTTATCTTTTAGTCTAAATAGCAAAATCTGAAGCTATATAACCGGTGGATTAAACGGTAGTCGTTTTAGCATTTCTTTGTAAAACAGTATTAGTTCATTTTCTTCACAGTAAATAAATATTTTAATGATTTTAAGTTAGGTATATTAATTGAATATAGACGGTTTGGATCCCTGAAATAAGTTAACAAGAATTGAAATATGAAAGGGAAAGGCAACCAGTAGAACATAAACGAAAGAAGGGAAATAAAGAAACAAGAAGGTAGCTTTAGCTAGGAACGTGGGTGGGTTTGGTTTTGTTAATTTATTCATGTGTATGTCATATGATATGTGGCTTCAATTTATTATTGCCCAATTCACACACTTGCCTTTTCTTAATCTCCTTTAATTTGGTCTATAATAAACAGTGCTAATTTGCTACCATTAATCCTCTCCTCCCTTCCAATCAGTGGTGGATCCAGGCAATAATGTTTGAGGGGTCATTAAGGATAGCGCGCGCAGCGCGAAATTTTTTTTAACAGAAACGGCATGCATATCGTCATTTCATCAGGTCTTGGTAGGATAGCGCGACCAGCTACTCCAAAATCCTTGTTCAAAATCCTACATTCCAGCTCTACGTCTGCAAAGAACAATAAAAAAATAAAATAAAAAGCAGAGCCTTTCGGTTCCACTAGCAAAGGCACAAAAATAAGGCTCTGTGCAAAATAAGGTCGAAAGGACACGCTTGGTATTTTTGTTTTTGTTCAGACCTGCCCAGGACACGCTGGGCTTTTTTTTTTTGTTTAAACCTGGCCCAAAACGACGTCGTTTTGGCTAGGTCATTTAAAAAAATTTCCTGGGCCAAAACGACGTCGTTTCGCCCAGGTTTTTTTTTAAAACAAATTGGCGCCACAGCGCCTTCGTCTTCTTCATCCAACCTGCCCAGACCGACGACCTTTCGTCGAACAGTTGGTGTGCAGCGAACGGGGTCGCACCACCAGTCCAAGGGGTCTCTAAGGTTGCTTCCATGGCTTCCAAGGGGTCGCGCGACCCCAATGACCCCACTGTGGATCCGCCACTGCTTCCAATTAACATATCTCTCTGACCCCAACTTTAATTAGGTTATGGAGTCCAAAGAAGCAACTTTCTCTTCTCATTCTCCTTCCCTCTCCCCAACCCCAACCACCAGGTAAAAGATAATATACTTTTCCTCTTCTCTTGCATTATAAAACAGTACGTAGTTGATTTATTTATTTATTTTCAATTTACGTCACACTATGTATATCTGAGCTTAATTAAGTTGGCTAGAGCAGTATACTTCCTTTCTCTTCATGCCGTAGTTTAGATAAATTTATTACTCGGTTTCATTACCTTCGTTTTGGTCCCTAACCTAAACCATTCAGGTTAGGTTTAAGTTACGTCTTATTAGTTCACCTTTTCTTTTCTTCTCTTCCTTTATGCATTTAGGTTTGGTCCCTAACCATCAGGTCCATCACTGTATATTAAGCTTTAAATTTTGGTATATGCATGCATGGGGTCTGTTGAAAACTGAAATAGAAAGGAACGAACTTATCCGGAATATGAAGAAGCTTTAAGTGGTGAATGATTCTTGGGATGAGTTGTAAATTAAGTCGCTCTTTTTAAGATGTTTCGCGGCTCTGCCCAAAGTGTGCAAGCATTTCACAAATATCACATCGTTCCCAGGATAAAAAAGCTCGGAACCTTCTTTTTCTGATAAGTTCTTTCTTGCACAATGAAAGAACTTTCAAACTCACACCCTTTCTATATGTTGCTTTAGAACTCAATTTTAAGAAAAATATATACGCTAATGTTTCTCTATACTTTCTTCGATACAGGGAATCTAGATATATATATATATATATATATATATATATATATATATATATGCAAAAAGATAAAGTATACGTTGCAAGTTTGACAAAATCAAGGACTTGAAAATCTTAAAGAATCAAAACAGACGAAATCAAAAAAGTAAATATTCAAAACGAAACAAAAGAATGAATGGGACATGATCATCTTCTCTATCCAGAGAAGGAATTCCATCCAATTATTTAATGTGAGAAGCTTTCTCACGTTTCAAAGTTAGTGAAGGAGATTACTCCTTATCAAAAGATAAGGTTAAAAATCAATTTAGGTTATATACATTTAATGGTTGTAATAAACCAAAATATAAAAACTACAACCGACAACATAGCAATTAAAATATTTAAATAAAAACATACTTACTCCAACAGGGTCATCCAATATCATTGGTGCTGTTTAATTTTTCATCGCTTTGTTGTAAAATTTTGATGGCGGTGGATCGACATCGGAGAAGATGGTGGTCGGAGGACACGGTCGCGATAGTGACCGGAGCAAACAAAGGAATAGGGTTTGCAGTTGTGAAGAGGATGGCGGAGTTGGGAGTGACGGTGATATTAACAGCCAGAGACAAGGAAAGGGGTTGCAAGGCTGTTGCGGCACTCAGAGCTCAAGGTCTTCATAATGTAACCTTCTCTTGCCTTGATGTCTCCGATCCTTCTTCTATCAAATCTTTCACTTCATGGTTCAAAAAAAGCTATGCAGTACTGGATATTCTTGTAAGCTTTTTCTATTTCCATTTAACAATATAGATGTAAGTTATTGTTTGTAGCGTAATGAAATTATTCTTATATATTGTTATTCATTTTTTGGCTCCTTACCTTCACGTTAAATAGCGTTACAACATGAAATTATCTTTACTTTCACGTTAAATGGTGTTACAAAATAAAATTAATATCCCACGCCTAAATTATAAAATTCATGGGAAGGTTACACTATAATTGCCAAAATTTAATTACAGTTCAAAGTTATATAATAACGTTGTTATTACTATAACAAAGGCGATTTCTACATTATAGTCATGATGCATTGTCATCATGGTATGTTAAGCGTGAACGTGATTACATTACATGTTCCAAAATGTGATCCGTTCTACATAATCGATTTGTGGGTGTATATCTTCGATATTTATCTGTTAGGTGAATTTGATGAGGGACAGAAAAGTTCGGTGGAGATATATTCACGTTTATAGAGAACAATCATGTCAAAGTGGATCAAATCTTCATGACTATCTAATTAGTCGATCAATCAAGCAATTTCGAACAGTACAATTTTTAAAACTAGTCAATCAATCAGACCAATAATATCTGGAAATTTCAAACTGTAATTAGGAACTTTTAGTGGATATTAATTTTTTTTTTAATACAAAGGATATTACTATGCTAAGCTACAGTTGAAAAAGGGTGACGGCTTTGAATTCAGAACATGGTGTTTTACATTTTAGTTATGGTTAAATTGTACGTTGATAACTTGGTACATATGTATAATTTTACGTACTTTTTATATCGATTATAAATTTGGATAAATGAAGGTGAACAATGCAGCTGTGTCTTTTAATGATATCAATGAAAACTCGGTGGAACATGCCGAGATAGTGATGAAAACCAACTTCTATGGACCTAAGTTACTAACTGATGCCCTCTTGCCCATGTTCCATCATAGCACCTCCTCCGTTGGTCGGATACTTAACGTTAGCTCCAGACTCGGCTCACTAAATGTAAGCGATCAAAAAATTAAACCTGCTCAATATATTAAGCTCATGAAACAACGCATGCATGCATTAATCCTCGATCATCAATCTCTCAAAATATTTTTGCAGAAGCTAAGAAACCCTAGCACAAAACGAGTTCTAGAAAGCGAAACACTGTCGGAAAATGATATCGAGGGGGTGGTTAGTTTGTTTCTTGAAGACGTCAAGAGCGGCAGATGGAAGAGCCAAGGGTGGCCTAAAGTATGGACCGACTATGCTGTGTCAAAGCTTGCACTCAATTCATACACAAGAGTTTTGGCCAAGCGATATGAGGGGAGGGGTCTGAGTGTGAATAGCTTCTGTCCCGGCTTCACGCAGACATCTATGACTCGTTGTAAGGGCGACCACACAGCCGATGATGCCGCTAGTGTTGGCGCAAGGCTGGCATTGCTTCCTCCTGAGGAGATTCCAACGGGGAAATTTTTTTTGTGGGTTAGTACTAGTGGTAATGTCATACCCTCTAAATTGTAGCTACTCTCTATGAGACATTACTTATTGAGGCATTTAGATTTAGATGCCATATCTATTTTATCATATTAGTGTTGGAAAATATTAGTATTTTAGATTTTGGGTTCCTTGTGAGTTTAAGGTTTGGCTTCAGCCCGTTCGAGTTAGGATTTCGTTTACTTATGTATTAGGGATTAGGTCATAATAAATACATGTTATTTGTTATTTAGTTGATATAAGTCACTCACAATACAGTCCCTTTAGATTATATAGCCGTTTGGGCTAATTTGTAATGTTTTCTTTCGTTTCTGTTAATAAAGTAATATTCATAATTTGTAACTTATTTATTCCTTTGCGTGTTCTCTGATTTTTAACTTTTAGCTTTTGGACTTTTCATCAACTAACAAAAATGTTAGTCAAATACACATGTTCATCCCAAAAGCTAGAAAATGAAAGACTATCCGAAAAGGATATCGAGCATTGTCGTCGATAAACTGTAGTTTTGCTATTTCGATGGTTTATCGACAATATGCACTGTGTTTTCATGGCCATGAAGCTTTAGAATGTTGACGCAGTGGGAAGGGGTCGAGGAATGGGTGTTCTTATTCGGAATTAAGCTGAAGAACTTTGTGGGGCAGTGGCGTTGCAAGCCCCTGCAGTCATCTCGCGCGGTTCTTGCGACTCTACTCCATACCATCAAGACTGGGCTGGGATTCGTGGTGGACGCCATCTGTTTGGTGTTCGAGGTGGAAACAAACTCGCTGCGTGTGGAAGCTGGTATGCATTAGAAAGCTTATATGTCGAGGCAATAAAGAGCATCATGAGAGGACGTGTGGTTATTGTGCAATACATCCCAAAAGAGGCTAACAAACATGGCTCGTTGTCTCGCCCGTCATAGTCTTTGGGTCCGGGGTTTGTCATTTTTGGGTTGATGAGGACCCTATGTGGCTTATGAATTGTATCAACAATTGAGGGCTCGATTGAAAGTTCATTTAAAATGATTGGTGTTTTGATGAAAGTGTTTTTTATACCAATCTTTAGTAAAAGGGCAAATGAATCTTGGAAAACTCTTGAACTGCTTCCTACAAGAGCACATAACTAGTACTTCTTTCAAAACGCACTTCAAAAATGTACTTCAAGTGTTTTTGGATCCCGAACACACTTTCACCAAAAACTCTTTCAATTATTTTAAAAGTACTACCAAATGAGTCATGAGTAGCGTTGTAATTTTTGACATGTGGGAGCTCTCTTTTTTTTTGTTGCAGGGCTTTTTCCCACGTGATTTTACTCGAGAGAAGTTTTTTTTTCATGCATGCTCGTTCTCTATATGTTTTGGTTGATTTAATGAAATTCTCTCGTAACCTTAGGAAGCAATAATGTTAAGTCATATCACATTTTTATATGACATTATATAGAAAATAATGTGTAATCAGAGGCGAAAGCTTAGAAAGCTTGAACTATAAAACAAATCTTCTTTTTTTCATTTTATTCAAAGCTTAAAGGGTTGATGAACCAAAAACTTACTACGGTCTATTAGTACTCTTCATCACTTGGAAGTGAAATGTCTTTAATTCAAATTTCGTGGATGGCGAATTCGATACCAAATTAGGCTGCCTATTGTGTGACTTAGCCGAATTCCCCTTCTCTTCAATGTAAAAATATCGAAGTACTAAAAAAAAAAAATATATATATATATATATAGAATGAGAGAAGACGAGTATCACCCTTGAAGCAAATAAGAGAAAATGGTCACCCAAAGTGATGGCCTTCATTCTCTTTCCCTCAAACTAAAAAAACCCTTAAAATTGTTGAAGCTGTATATAGGGCTCACAGGTCACACCTTCATCCTTCAATTTGGTGTCTCATTGGGCCCTTTTAATTTGTCATACAACTTAAATTAAAGTGTCCAATGGGCTATAGACCAATGAGCCATGAAACCTCAAACTATCCTCAGGCCCATTTAGATTTTTTTTCGCTTGATTAATTAATCTTAAGCCTAATCTCTACTAATTAATAAAACATTTATTGTCAACTAAAACCCTATAAAATTACTAGTTTAACCCTCTAATTAAAACAAAACATGAATAAAAAATATGGGGTAGAAATGTAATTTCACACAACCAAATTTTGTTGTTTTTTTTCAAAGCCTCACCTACCTGTAATCTTAACATATCTCTAATTAAAAAAATAAAAATAAAATAAACAAATAAATAAAAAGTTCCCACCCCCACATTCTCTATCACTCTCTTCCTCTCTCCTTCTATTTCAAAAATAAAAAAAATAAAAAAATTTCTCACACACTTTGTGTATGCCCATATGCTAGTAAGTAATAAATTAAACCATTTAAGTTAACGTAGTCATCTTCGTTGAAATTCTTCAATATCTATTTTAAATTTTAATTGATGTGAGATTAGGTTCATTAATTGACAGTGAACAAATTTGAATGTTTACTTTAATGATGATTAATATTGTTCACCCTCAAATCAGGAAGATCTATTGAGAAACAAATTTGTTTATTTAATTTTTTTCATTTTTTTTACAAACAAATTTGAATATTCGATAAGTATTACTAAATTGTTTCATGTCTTGTTTATTTAAATATGTTTGCAAAAATCTTATTTGTCCACTTGCTGAATTATCTCACAGTTTTTGTTCATTTTGCGCCCTCAGGTTGTAACTAGTAGAGGTTGGCTTATAATCGTTTTTATTGATGGATCAGAGACATCAAATTGTATGTATGTAACTAAATGGTTGATTGAGACTTGGTTGAGCTTGGATGTGTTTGCTCGCAAGTGATAAATTTGAGTAATGTATTACTTTCATGAAACGTTATGCCAAATTTTTTAACGAAATCAACCCTAATCGGGTATTTCCAAATAGGATGCGCTATCCACACGTCTTTTTTACTTCTCACACACCCCTTGTTAATTTATGTCCGTTGATCTTCTTCAATTCATTCGATTCGACGATCGAAAACTAAAAATGTGTGAGAGAAGTAAAAAGAGGTGTGTGAATATCACACCCCTTTCCAAACAAGGGGTATTACATAATTTAAGCTAGTGGGCCTGACGCTTTATGGTGTTAAGACATCTCACGGATTTGGATCCCATTCGGATCCAAATTGTGAGGATTCTAGGAATCCTTATATCCTAATCGTTTATCGTATATCGTGCGGTCAGAAATCATATTGAATTATTTTATTTAAAATTAAACAAAAATACATTTATATAAAAACTAACCGCATGATGTACGATGAATGACTAAAATATGAAAATCTCGAGACAATCCTCATTCACATCTCACTACCTTCAAATTTCAAGTAAGTAAGACCTTGAGGTTCTGAACTCAAAGTTGGTGTGGTCTCTTTGTATTCTCAATTATTGACTGACGCGTATTTTCTTAACTTTATTGTCATGAACTTAATATGTGTCAAATAATAACTAAAATCACAAACAAGACACATCCATTTTAGGTGCACAAGATTTGAAGTTAGACTCTAATAAATAACGTACTCAATATCAAATTATTGTTGAATTATTGTGCGGTCCAACCCAAAACCAAATCGGTAGGTAGAAATGAAAATTCTTATTGGATAGAGAATATAGAAAGAGGGAAGGAGACTTGAGAAAAACAGTGTCCGAAGAAAGACTGGAATTTTGACCCCAAAAAAAAGATAAAAAAATAATAAAAAAAGACAGAGAGGAAAATGTCTAACTGCCAGTGGGGTCCATAATTACCATCTCGCCAACTTTAAACCATTAAATACAAATTAAAAAAAATATTTAAATTCAATCCTCGTTTTTTCTTTCCTTTCCTGTTTCGTTCAAGAAGCTCTGCAGCAACGACGAAGAAGGAGGACAAGGAGAAGGAGATTCAAAACAACAAGGACAAGAATGGCTGTTGTTGCCGCCGCACCGGGCGGCGATTCACTGAGCGCGAGAGCAGCCACCATGAGAGAGTCACTGCAAAAGAGCCAGACCATCACTGACAGCGTCGTCTCAATTCTTGGCTCCTTTGACCACCGCCTCTCCGCCCTCGAAACCGCCATGCGTCCTACCCAGGTCAGTCCCACCCTCTCACCTTCTTCTTCTTCTTCTACCTTTGGTTTTCTTTTTCAAGTTCGGATCGCAGCTTTTGAGTTTGACTTGGCCTTTACTTTCCTCACACAAGAGTAGCATATATATATATATATATATATGTTTTTGTTCTTTTATTTTTCTCAGTAACCAAACGGTGGATCTCTCAGATTTTGACTGGGTTTCATATGCTTGATCTTAAGTTTGTGTTTAATTATTTGGGCTGGCTTGTCTGAATTTTGGATTGTGCAGATTAGGACGCATTCTATTCGGAAAGCTCATGAGAACATTGACAAGACCTTGAAGGCTGCTGAGGTTATATTGGCGCAATTCGATCTTTCTCGTCAGGTATATTTTCATTCCTAAGCTTAATTTGTAACAACATATATACAGTAATTGTTAGTCAGATCAGCCAATACCTCTCAACTTGTTTAATTTTAACTAGACTCGACTTTATATCGAATGAGTGTAAACCAAATCTTTTTTTCTTGTAAGAAATGGTATCTGTACACCGGGCGCTTAACTTCCTTCGTATTTCTTGGATTTTATTGTTGACGTTTGATTTTTTGCAATTGCACCTGTTACAATGAATGCGCCTAGTTTGTTCGTGCGGGTTGTTGGGGTGCTTTCATAGGACATGAGCATTGTTCACTTTCTGGTCCCATTTGGGCAGGATGATTTGTAAGAAAGGAGTTCGATTTTTGAGAATGTGACTAAATTAGGCAGAAAAACCATGCAAAACCCTGGATACATTGCACTTCAAGTGGGATTTGAAATTACTAGTCCATGCACTTTTTCTTTTTATTTTCGTGTAAATGTGCTGTTAATAATTTACTCAAGCAATTTAACTATGTAAAATTACCAGCAAGTTACAACAGGTAGACATGTAATTTTTTTGCTTTGGTGAATGTTTGCGATGCAGTCATGAAGCCTAGGCACTAACCTAGACCATATGTCGGTATAGTTGTCCACACTTCATAGCTTGCAAGAGAGGATCTTACCTAACATTTGATTCTTTAGTAGTCATTGGATTTTCAATAATCTACCTGTAATAATTTTTTATCATTTCCAGCTGTAAAAATGCTTATTAGAGTTAATTGCTGGGATATTACCATATGACAGTGTTGTTTTAGCCTTATCTTGCCTAGGGCTGTGTGTGTGTGTGTTTTAGCCGTATGTCTGATTTTCAATTCGCAGGCCGAGTCAAAGATACTGAGAGGGCCTCGTGAGGACTTGGAAAGTTATCTAGAAGCAATTGATCAGCTAAGAAGAAACATACGGTTCTTTAGTAGCACAAAAGGCTTTAGGAGTAGTGATGGAGTTATCAGTGATGCAAATGGTTTGCTTGCTAAAGCTATTTCAAAGCTGGAAGAAGAGTTCAAGCAGCTGTTATTGTCTTACAGGTTTGTATTTGAATACTAACGATGCTGTTTTTCTGGTGCTATTACTTCCTTTGCCTCCATTTTCAGCCTATGCTCTACTTTTCTTTCATTTCAGTTTCAGTTTCATGTGCAACATGTCCTGTTTGTCTGTGTTTTGTGTTGGCATCAGAGGGTGGTGGTCTGTTATTTTGTTTTTCTTTTGTCTAATTGTAATACCTTCTAACAATTGAATTTATTTATGGGGAAACAATCATTTTGGTCCTGTAGTTTGACTTTTGGTCTCAAATGTGTCATTGTAGTTTCAGTTGTTTCAGTCAAGTATCAATAGTTAACTACTGGTTACAGTCAAGTCCCAAATTATAATTTCTTCAATCTTTCAGATGGTAGTCATTGGTGCTGGGGTAATATTGTCCAAGAAAAAAAAGGTGTTAAACTATTAAAGGATAATCTAACATTCAATTCATAAATTAAAATGTAGTATGGAAGACTTACATCTTCTCCAACAATTCTACAATCGAATCCCAGCCAATCACTGGAATCCCCAATCTAACCAACTCAATCCCAAACCCGTTTCTTTATTGTAACTAATGGTTAACTACAGGGACTTGATGGAAACAATTGAAAATACAGGGATTGTGATGCATGACACAAATACAGGTTTTCGGGTAGGGCGATATGAAAAATCTCTAAAAACTAGGATACAAATACGTCAATTAGAATACTGTGTATACTTTAAAAATGAGTTTAACTGGCAAATTTCTACCCATCCTTTTATATAGAAAGCATTAGTAATTTTATTTCAATATTAGAACAGCCTTGTGCACTGGGTACGACCTTTTATTAGAACAGACTTTCTAAAAAACAATGTGAGAGGAGAGAATGATGGGCTAATCATATTAGTACGCACCTCTCTAATATCTCTCGGGTTTCTCTTTATGTGGCTGTTCAGTCCAGCCCTTAGCAGATATTCTTTAATATTATGCATTTTTTATGTCAAGAATTTTCCTATTTTCACCACATCATGTTACACTTCTGTGTTTTCTCTTTTTTCTTGGGTTGAACACACATGGTAGGTGCAACTTGACAGGATTGGGACTGAGTCCAGTCCAGTCTAGTAGAGATCCTTCCCTTTTGAGGGGACCAATCCCTTTTCTTTTCAACTTCTTCTTCTTGTGATAAATAAGACTAAGGAAAATAAAATCTGTAGTCCCCTTTTCCATTTTGTCAAACCAGGAAGGAGAAGAAAGACTTATTTGGCAGGCTAAATTTTCTTTTAAAATTACAAACTCACCCCTAAATTCCTCAAATCATAATCCCTGTTAGTGCCGTAACCTTTACCATATTTGAAATGTATCTAAACCTATCCATACCATATCCTAATGTCAACAGATACTTCTGTACACGAAATTTATCGGGGCCATATCCGTATGGGATACTCACTCACCCTATTAAACTTTGCAGTATCCGTGTTACATAGACAGTGACCCAATTGAATCCAAGGTCAAACTATGGAACCAAAATGGTCAATTCCACTAACGTCATCGTATATTTTAAAAAATATTCAACTTTTATTGCTTAACTTTGCGATAGAATGCGACTTTTCTTTGGGAAGTCTAATTTTTTGTGCCTTTGCTTTTATGAGGCATGTTAATTTTGTTAATGACCTTCAGATAGGTTGTTAGGTCATCTATTGAACTGTAACTGTGCCTTTTTTCAGAATTGAAATGGTGCTTCATTTACACCATATATGTGTTTTCGAATTTCAGCAAACCTGTGGAGCCTGAACGCCTTTTTGATTGCCTCCCAACCTCATTGCGGCCATCCTCAGGATCTCCTGGGAATCAGGGTGATTATGGTGGCAAGAATCCTTCATCCAATAACCATCCTGAACACCACAACAGTAACCTAGAAAATGCTGTTTACACACCTCCTGCTTTGATACCACTACGGGTTCTTCCATTGTTACATGATTTAGCCCAGCAAATGTTTCAAGCTGGTCACCACCAGCAGCTGCTAATAATTTACAGGTAATAAAGAGGCATTATTTGCTCTTCAGTTATCAATGAGGCATGCTGGTTTTTCACTCCCTACTCATGACAACAGGTTATTTCAAGATTTCATATTTTATCAACGTCGGGTGATTTGTTAAACAGTTACTGCTTTTTGGGTATAAAGTTATTTAATGTTGGTGAAGCTCAAATTTTATGACTAGAAGAGAATTGACCTACGTGTGTGGGACAATTCCATAGAACATTTTCCGCATTCACACCCAAGGGATATGACACTTGTGTCCACGTGTGTCGAATACTTCTTTGTGTTCTTAGAAATGATGCTGCTTCATCTGCTAGAAAGAGTCCAAACTTAACAAGGTGTTGATCACTTTTTCCAAGAAAACTGCACTTAGCTATTGTTGTCTTAAATCGTTTGAGAATGGTTCTTTTACAAGTAATTGTTTTCTAAAGCACTGATAGATGTCTAACCATGTAAAATTTCACAATCCTTGTATCTGGACTTTTGGAAAACGCATAGGAAACATTGTTGGGTTTTTCAAGCCCAATGAGCTATCCTAAGGCTCTTAGGAATTAAAGTCTCAGAGGATTCAATTTTTTTCCCAATTGGAGTTGGTTTCTCAATTGGAGGAGCTGGTTTCCCAACTAAATTCCAATTAGGATTAGTATTCCTCATTGAAGAAGACATTTATTATGTTTATATAAAGGGGCTGATGAAATTGAGGTTCCACCATAGAACCAATTGGCAATATGGGGAGTAGCCCAAGATCATATAAACACATAGCAAACCTTGTTCCTCACTGATGTGGGACAACTCTCAACAGGGGCTATTGCACTAGTTTTGAAGTGGAGCAAAACAATCAATTATACCACTCAAGGAGTTAGAGTGAGAGAGTATTGTAAGGGTAAAGTGTGTGCGAGAGAAAACAAAGGAGATAATAGTGTATTTCTTATTCTTGTTCTTTCAGGTTTTTGGTCAAGTTTTAATTCTAGAGACTTAGGCAACATAATTTGTTGTAATCATTCAGTATTGATATGGTGAAAGTTTGTTGTTGCTGCCCCATGGAAGTAGGCACGTAGCCTAACCACATATATTCTTTGTGTTATTCATCTTGATTGTTTCTTTTTAGTTTTCCGAGTTTGTCTTGTTTTTTTCCATTCTTAAACATGATATATACAACAATCATTGTGCCTATGTTGACACACCCATACTTGTCTTAGTGCCGTCCGATAATAGGAGTTAAGTTTTCAAATCCTAAAGAAAAGTTATTGTGATGTAGAGGTGCCTGTATGCTTCAATCTCATTTGTAATTTCTGCTGTCCTCCCTGGGTGCCTAACCACACCATTAATATTGAAGCTAGCTGGTCAATTCAGATCTTGTATTTGAACATTTTTTTGAAGGGATACCCGTTCTTCAGTTTTGGAAGCAAGCCTCCATAAATTGGGGGTCGAAAAACTTAGCAAGGATGATGTTCAGAAAATGCAATGGGAGATTTTGGAGGCCAAGATTGGGAACTGGATTCATTACATGCGTATAGCTGTAAGAACTTTATGGAATCTGCTCAGTTTCATAGATTATCTGTGTTTTTCTTCAACATCTAACTGTCCTTGAACAGGTCAAATTACTCTTTGCTGGAGAACGGAAAGTTTGCGATCAAATTTTTGAAAGCTTTGATTCTCTCAGTGACCATTGTTTTGCTGAAGTTACCAGAAGTAGTGTTTCAGTTCTACTTAGTTTTGGGGAGGCAATTGCTAACAGCAAAAGATCTCCGGAAAAGTTATTTGTACTTTTAGACATGTACGAGATAATGCGGGAGCTTCACTCAGAGGTTTGAATAATTTAACAAATTTATAAAGCATGCACTCTATATACAATATGACAAATTAGAGCAAAGGAAATGACACAATTAGAAGTGCCCCTTAGGTGCTGAAGTTTGTAAGGCTATTGATTTGTCCAGAGCACTTTGACAGTTAGGAATTCATCACATTAGGTAACATAGGATCATTAAGTATATCAGACAACTTTGAGTTCGAGAATTAGGGGATTTTATTTTAAGATCTATATTCTCTTGTTTCTTTCCAAGATATGTCTGCTTAAGATACAGATGGCTTTTGTTCCACAAATTATCAATCACATCCATATCAAATTATAATTTTTTTGTTTCCATTTCATCTATATCAAAATACTTAGCTTCTTTGTATTTTGAATATTTGTTTGGTTATCTTTTACAAGATATTACTCTACTCTTAGGGCTTCAATACTTTAGCACATCCATGATGGTTTATATTTATTGTTTGCATTTTCATAATTGGAAGAATTAGTTATCAATTATTTCACTCGGTACACTTGGTGGCTGCTTACAATGCAATTTTTGTAGAAAATCAAATTTAATAAAATACTTTCCATTTTGCATTAACGTGGTGTCTAGGTAACTTCAAACTTGCTTGTTTGTTGAGAAAGTAGGTAGCTTGATGGCCTGATGGCCTGGTGCCAGATTCATGCTTTGAGTTGATCCCTGAATTCATCTGCAGATTGAAACGATCTTCATAGGTAAAGCTTGTGCTGAAATTAGAGAATCAGCTTCAAGCTTGACAAAAAGGCTTGCCCAGACCGCAAAAAGTACCTTTGGGGATTTTGAAGAAGCCGTTGAAAGGGATGCAACGAAAACTGCTGTAACTGATGGCACTGTCCATCCTTTGACAAGCTATGTGATCAACTATGTGAAGTTTCTTTTTGAGTAAGTTCCACTAATTAGGCTTTAAGACTTTTCCTGGTCTTGTGGTCTGATAGTGGTGCTCTATGGTTATTGGTTGGATGATCATTCCTCTGAAACGTGCCTCATAGTTTCTATTGAAATATTTTTTTACGCTGCTTTCTCTTATATACATTGATACATAGGATACATATTTTTTTTGGCCAATCAATTTTAGGTTGTGACTGTTAGATAGGTTTTGTATGCCTATTTCTTAATTTTTCATTTGACAGCTTTCTAAGTTGGCCAAAACTATATATTACAGTTACCAATCGACATTGAAGCAACTTTTCAAAGAATTTGAAAATGGAGATGAAGGTGGTTCACAATTAGCTGCTGTCACGATGCAAATAATGCAAGCTCTTCAAACCAATTTGGATGGGAAGTCTAAGCAGTACAGAGATCCAGCTTTAACTCACCTATTTCTCATGAATAATATTCACTATATGGTCAGATCTGTGCGGAGGTTTGTCTCAGATATGTTTTATTTGACCTTTTGGTTTAAGTGTTACAAGCCTATAATATGTGCCACTCCTGTTTCAAATTGTTTTCAGATCTGAAGCCAAAGATTTGTTGGGGGATGATTGGGTGCAAAGACACCGGAGAATTGTTCAGCAGCATGCAAACCAATACAAAAGAAATGCTTGGGGAAAGGTGCTGTTTGTTAAAATAATTGATTTGTTGACCTAATTGAACCCTACACGATCTTTCCATAATTTACCTTAGTTTTTTCTTTATAGGGACTTGGTTCTTGCTTTTTGGGCCATTACTATTTGTATTATGATCAATGTTAAGCTTTTTGCATTTCTTTTATCTTTTAAAGATATTAGATTGTCATTGTGACATTAGACGTATTAGTACCCCATTGAGAAGTTATGGAATGTAAAGTTTTACAGACCTTCAAAATCCACTAATAAGAAAAAATTGAACCCTCCGTGCTTTAGGTTGTGTTTTGATTCTGTAATGGTCTGATATGTTCAACCATTAGTTTGGCATGTCGATTACACTTTTACAAGAAATAGCTTCCGTTTTCAAATCCATGACCTATGTGTTTTTCATATAAAAATCCATTACATTTGTACAATTATGGCTTTTCAGTTTAGATATTGAAATATTTTTGAGAAATCCTTCATCTGCCATGAAGTGGTGTAGATCCTGGAAATGAATAATATTCTAAATTGAAGGACTGTATAGTGCCAGATTTTTGTTGGATATTTACTTATATTATGTTTCTCTTCTCCCTGGGTTTTGTTTAATTTTTGTGTGTGTGGGCCAAGTGGCTATTACTTATAAAAGCTTAATATCTTAATTTGTTGTAGCTTAATATCAAATATTCTTTCTGTATCTTCACTCCATTGTCAGGATTGCATTGTAGTTAGGAAGTTCCATTAGGCCTCATATAGATTGGAGAAAACATAGAAGATAAAAGATAAAAGAAAAGGAGATTAATATAAAGGTTTTTGGGTCCAATACAAACGGGAAATAACTTGCTTGTTATTTACATAAGGTATACTTGGGTGTTGATTACTTCAATTCAGCACTAAAAGGCGTAATAACCGTCTTTTTGGGTGATTTGGTGAGAGAGAAATGTTAGAACTATCAAAGAAAGGCTAGGAGACATGGTTGTAACCTAATGTGGTAGACTATAGAGTGAGGTTTTAAGCTTCTTTCTAAGCATCAGTATCCTCTGTTTTTAGAAATGTATGGAGATACTATTTTAGCTTCTGCATGAAAATTTGTGTGTGTGAAAAGTAAATTTAGATAGAGGAAAAAGGTTGAAAAAGAATAGTTACCGTTCTACGGAATAGTAGAAAGAGGGTGATCGATGTGACTGTTCTATGTCCTGCTACTTTTCGAGCGCCAACCAATCTGAATATATTTCGTGGAAAATATGGTTTCTCTTGTCGTAATGCAGTGATGCAGAAGCATGCTTTACGTATATTTAACACTTTCAGCATGTTCATTTTGCTTTTATTTTTCTCTTAAGAGGTGTTTCACTACCTTATGAAATGTTGGTGTTTTCTTCCATGCAGATTCTGCAGTGCCTCTCCATCCAAGGCTTGACATCATCTGGAGGTGGTAGTTCAGTAGCTGCTGATGGAGGAAGCAGTGGAGTTTCTAGAGCAATTGTTAAAGATAGGTTGATCTCAACTTCTATCCTCTGAAACATACACCTAAAAGAGTAACTTGATTATCTATCGATTCACGGATTACTTTGTCATCAACATTTTGACCAGCTGAAATATAATCCATTTCAGGTTCAAGACGTTCAATATGCAGTTTGAGGAATTTCATCAAAAACAATCTCAGTGGACAGTTCCTGATACTGAGTTGCGAGAGTCACTAAGACTTGCAGTTGCTGAAGTCTTATTGCCTGCCTACAGATCATTCATAAAACGTTATGGGTGTGTTTTCATTATCTTCTATTGTTTTGCATGCACTGTCACCACATGTCCAGTATAACGATACATCCCTTTAAGAACAATAAACATTAATGCCTGTTTGATAACCATTTCATTTTAGTTTTCATGTTTTTCCTTCATAGAGATATAGGGAATGTATATGTAGGAATGAGGAATGAAGGATGGGTGAATGGTGGAGGGAGAGTGAAGGAAAATGTAGAAAACAAAAACTAGAAACAGAAACCTATCAAAAGTTCTTAGTTTTTAGTGTTTATTTCTCATGTCTTCCACTTCCCACCACCCATACTCCACCCTTGGTCATCCCCTCATTTCTTTCTTATATTTCTTCTCTTTTGCTAACTAAAAGTGAAAACTAAGACCTGAAAACGAAATGGTTATCAAATGGGCCTAATATTTCTGAAATAGAAAAGAATCTAGATTGGCTGACAGAGGTAAATTCTTGGATCAAATTGGCTAAATTGAAAACACAAGGACTAAATTGGCTAAATGGGTACATCACATGGACCATTTTGACATTTAAGCCTTGTAGTTTATTAGACCAAACTTAATAATCTAGAGTCTAGATTGGGAAAAAAAAAGCTTAATACTTTGGAGACTGGACATTAAGGGCTTGTTAGACCTCGAAGTTTGGGTAGGAATGGATAACCCACTATATTCAAGGTATGTTGAAGGTAAAGGTGAATGATTTTTCATTTGGAGGCAATCAGAAGGGGACTAGACATGAAGGAAACTTATCCTTTCCAATCCTACCATTTTTGGGGGGATTGGAAGGAAGAAGTTTCCTTCTTGTTTAATCCACCTAATTCCCTGGGATGAAAAATCATTCACCTCTACCTATTTTCTTGAATATAGTGGGTTATTCATTCCAATGCAATCCTAGAGACCAAACAAGGCCACAACTACCATAGACACTTAAGTGGGCCCATGGACTTGGTCTAGGGACTCTAAAGAGGATATCTCTTAACTAACCGTGTTTTACAAACTTCATCATTTATTTATCTAAGGAATTTAATAGGACAACACTTCAGTTCGGGTATTCCGGCTGAATATCATGTAACTATTGTATGTTAATTGGCCTGGAAATCATATCCATGGTGTCATGTTTTTTTTCTTCACGTTTTCAAATATGTCGAAGTACTAGTTGTATCTATTGGTGCCAAAATCTGTATGTTCTGTTTGTCTCACAGGCCTCTGGTTGAGAGTGGAAAGAACCCCCAAAAGTACATCCGGTACACCGCGGAGGATCTTGAGCGAATGTTGGGTGAATTCTTCGAGGGGAGGAACGTGAACGAACCCAGGAGGTAGATTTGACAAGTCTCTCGCTCTTTCCGGCTCTCTGTTGATTTAGCCAACGATGTGTACCATCGGTTTTGGTATCCTGTGGAATGTTTGTGCCCTTCCCTGTATATCGCACAGTGAATAAGAGGGGTCTGTCTTTCCACATATGCTTGTATAGTCCCTGCTGCTTCGACGGCCCGGCGGCGTTCCAAGTTCAAATTTTGTAATTTTATAAAATGGGCAGTCGTTTCTTAGCACTTTCAGACCAAATTAGGGTTCTTTTTGTTCTTGAATATTTTCAGTCCATCTTCAAATGTATTTTTTTGACCAGATTTTTAAATTCTTCGAGGAATGGCTATGATCTTTTAAAATCCACTATCATTACATGTTTCTGTACTGAAGAGCTCGTGGTTCTTTACTCTAGTCGATCCTGAATTTGCCACGTCATTGTTTTAATTTAAGACGATTTTATGGCTGGATTATTTAGAGACGTCGAAAGGGATGAGAGGAATAAATTGGTATTGAACACTCCATCAATAGGTTTCTACGATTGACTTTAACAACATGCTTCATATGTTGGGCCATCTCTAACCGATCCGGCTAGAAGGTCGAAAATAATCCGAAATGACACGAAAACCATCTCCAACTGAGGGTTAAGCCAAAGGGCTCGTGGGCCCCACCAAACCAAAAAATGGAATCAGGCTTGGGCTAGCCGGCTAGCCCTCTCCCTCTCAGGCCATCTCTAACCGAGGGCTGGCCAGAGGGCTCGTTTTAGCCCTCTAACCCTCCAAGATTCTCCAAGATATTAATATTTTAATGAACAGTACATGGCCATATTTGCTTCTATCTCCTACCGAGGGCGAGAGGGCTAGAGGGCTCGTTTTAGCCCTATCACAAAAAACCGTCTCCAACCGAGGGCCAAAGGGCCATAGGGCCAAACATAATTTATTATTTAAAAACTACAACTAAAATGTTGTTTAAGTTTCATGTTGTATAATTTTTATGTTGGTTAATTTTATTTAATGTTGTTTCATATTGTTTAATGTTGTTTCATGTTACTTAATTTAATTTAATGTTGTATAATGGCTTAGGAAGTTATAGGAAAAAAATAGAATTTAAAAAAAATATGAAACAAATTTTGTGAAATAGAAGTTATAGGAAAAAAATGGAATTTAAAAAACAATATGAAGTAAATTTTGTGAAATAGAAGTTATAGGGAAAAAATGGAATTTAAAAAAAATATATGAAATAAATTTTGTGAAATAGAAGTTATAGGAAAAAATAGAAGTTATATGAAAAATTTTGTAAATAAAAAAAATAATAATAATGTAAAAAAAAAATAAAACAATCCTGTCGGTTATAACCGACAGGAATACACCATTATTTAGTATATTAAATAATAGTATGTATTCCTGTCGGTTATAACCGACAGGAATAACAAAACTATAAAAAAAAAAATAGCCAGCCCGGGGCTGGCTGGCTTTCCGAAAGCAGCCAGCCCTCCAGCCCTCTCTGATCCCGTGGGGCCCTCCCAGATTCCAGAGCCCTCTGGCCTAGCCCTCGGTTGGAGACGGTTTTAGGGCTATTTTCGGCCCTCTGGCCCTCTGGACCCTTCGGTTAGAGATGGCCTTAGAGATGGCCTCAGCTGCTGCCTTCTCTCTTCACCCTTCGGTCAAACATAATTTATTATTTAAAAACTACAACTAAAATGTTGTTTAAGTTTCATGTTGTATAATTTTTATGTTGGTTAATGTTATTTAATGTTGTTTCATATTGTTTAATGTTGTTTCATGTTATGTTAATTTAATTTAATTTAATGTTATAATGGAAGTTATAGGAAAAAAATAGAATTTAAAAAAAATATGAAACAAATTTTGTCAAATAGAAGTTATAGGAAAAAAAATGGAATTTAAAAAACAATATGAAATAAATTTTGTGAAATAGAAGTTATAGGAAAAAAAATTGAATTTAAAAAAAAATTGAAACAAATTTTGTAAAATAGAATTGAAAAAAAAATATGAAACAAAATTTGATTCATATGAAAAGGAAAAAAAAGGGAAAAAAGAAGTTTAAATTCATAAAAAAAAAAAAAAAAGTTAATACAGCGGCTACTAGCCGTTATATTAAAAAAAATTCAAACTATTAGTGTCGGTTATAACCGACACTAATAGTAATTAAAAATAAAAATTTTGCTTTTGAATAACTATTACTGTCGGTTATAACCGACAGTATTAAAAAATTCTTCTTTAATGCTTTCAGTTATAACCGACAGCAATAGGAAAACATTAAAAAAAAAATAGCCAGCCCCGGGCTGGCTGGCTGGCCGAAAGCAGCCAGCCCTCCAGCCCTCTCTGACCCCGTGGGGCCCTCCCAGATTCCAGAGCCCTCTGGCCTAGCCCTCGGTTGGAGACGGTTTTAGGGCTATTTTCGGCCATCTGGCCCTCTGGACCCTTCGGCTAGAGATGGCCTTAGAGATGGCCTCAGCTGCTGCCTTCTCTCTTCACTCTCTCCTCCATTTCCGATTCCGCAAATTCACCTTCTTCTCGGAGTCATCTTCTTCGGTCCCATCTCCTTGTTCTACTCCTCTCAGCATCTCACAATCGCAGCACCACTCGCCCACTCACACTAGGTCCACCTCTTAAACCCCTCTCTCTACAATTTTATCTTTTCTAATTGATAACTTAATTGGATGGCATCTGACGTGGACAGCCACATTATTTGAAAAATTTGCAAAACCTAAGGAAATGAAGAAGAAACACTCCTCGTATACCACAATCATCATTTAATTAACTAGTTTTTCTTAATTATTAGTTTATTAAATAATGAACTAAATTAAACAATCTAATTAATTCAGATGATGTGACTGTCTACATCAAACACCACCTAAGGTGGTATGAAAATGTGATACAAAAACATGGTATGAATAGCATTACTCTATTATTAATAGTTTAATATAGAGTTTGATTAAAGGTTTAACTCAGGTTTATAATTGGGGTTTTACTTATGTTTTCGGTTAGGTGGGTTTTGCCTGGAGCATTAAATTAACTAAACATGAAATCAATGATTAGAAAAGTAGTAGGGGATTGTAAGTGGGAGGGCAGACAATCTTGGTCCCCAAGTTTTTCACTTCCGTTGTGGATTGTTGTTTTTGGAATTAATTAGCTTTGGGTTTTTCATTTTTCTCAAATTCCCACCTGATTTGGCTTCCATATAAAAACCAACAAATCACCTATAAAAAAAGTAGCTCCCATTTGTATTAACTTCAGGCGATTTGTTGGTTTTGTTTGGTTCCCTGAAACGACGGAGAATAAGGGTTCTATTTGCTTGTTTCTTTTTAGTCTTTTTGATTTCATAGAAATGAAATTGTGATGATTTGAAGTTTGTATTTTTGACATTTTCAGATTAAATTTGGTGATATCTTAAAAAGCTTAAAAAGCGGTAAGTTGTTCTTCAGCGCAATTCATAGACTATACTGGCGCAACCTGCGTGCTCAAGAGACTATACTGGTTAATAGGTATCCTTCATGTTTCAGAATTTGATTGCAAATTTTTGTGGTTGCAGTAAAATTGAGGGATCGCAGGCTACTGCAAAACAGACGGCTGAATTGATTCGGTCGGTAATTTCAGCGCAGCGGGTGCCATACACAAATCAAGCTGGAGCATTGATTTATGCTGTGAAGGCTGTTGGGGAGCAGCTGATTGCTGCAAACCCTATTGGTAATGTTTTGTGAGATTTCATCTTAAAATTTTTATTTGTGAGATTTCATATTTTTGAATTTACTGACAACTAGGCAAGTATTTTAAGATAGGGTTTAGGAAAAGTATAACTTATTACAACGTAGAGTTTATTAACGTATAACTGGAGAGCAACTTACATGATATGTGTTCACTGTCACGTGGCGTTCCGATCCAATAATACAATGTTATGTGTTTAAAACCTTACACATATAATTGTTTTATTGAAATGAGACGCCACAATGTCAACGGGATGGAACAACTTACGGAGATAGGATCAGTGAATTACAAGACGAGAGATTTTTAATGGTATTTTTCGAGATACGAATCCAAAATACATAATTCGTTCATGGTATTTTTGAACATATCAAACAACAGTGGACTCAAGTTCGTTTTAATACTTCATAATCTATTCTCCAGCCGACCAAATGAGCCATGTGAGTCAATTATGGTCTTTTGAAAACTATATACATTCCAAGATACATATGCAAATTAGTTTTTGGCTGTACAAAAAGGTTAGGTTTTTTTCGGAGAATGACGGTTTGGTCCATTCACCTAGTGAACATCGGTGCAAGTTATCACGGCAAAGTCAAGAGCCTATCCGTGAGTTATTTGGATGGGTATGGTTCGATTTCCCCCGGTTTACCATAAAAACCAAAAATCGAACCGAAGAATTTGCATGGTTCGATTTGGTTAATTGTTCGGTTCGATTTGGTCAATTTATGAACAACATACAGATGCCACAACATACCTATTTAAGAGAGAGAAATCTTTACTCTATGTAAAATGACCTTTTTTTTGACAGAAGCAATAGAGTTTCATTATTACAAAAAACCAATTACAAGGGTGCCATATGGGTATATATGTTCTAGTGATCAATTTCTTGATCTGGAGGTAATTAGCACAAAACGCAAATAATTTAAAACCATATACGACCACCCCACAAATCATACCACTAGAACGAGGAGTCACGTAGACGAGATGTGATATACCAAGCATCAAAACCCTCACAAAAGCCATTGTAGTTAGCGAGGCTACAAAATAACAAAACGACCTAGCCTAAAAAAAAATTACAAAATTAAAAAAAAACCGACATGTCCTCTAGAGGAAACAGGTGCAGCATTGTAAGACCTGTCGCCGGTTTCTCTCCCGAGCAACAACCAACTCTGCACCTGCACGTAGGGAGGGAGAAACAGCCACCAGCCCCAGCCATAGCCAGAGGCTGGCGGCTAAGAGAAGCGTTTTTTGAGAGAGAAATATGGTAACAGTATGGATGGCTGTAATGACCTTTGTTCAAACATAAATATCAACTAATTATACAAGAATTGTAAATTATTTATTAAATTAAACCAAAAATAGTAAAAAAAAAAGAAAAAGCAAACTAAACATTCATTAGTTTAAACACTTGTCAAAGAGAATCCTCAAATAAAAGGAAACAAAAACAACAATCTTTCGAAGTTTATAATACTTCAACATGCCAATGCAAGGACACAATGTCAGTCCTTAGTAGTTGGTTGTCATTTATTAGAGCTGCTCTTCTTTTCCGTGGCTGACGAGGAACTCGCTTCCTTGTTATTTTCTGGTTTACTACTCTTTGCTTTTCCATTGCTTCTTTTCTTAGGTCCATTGTCAAAAGTATACAAGGACACAATGTCAGGAATCTCCCCTGGAATATTGTAATTCGTTTCTGACGTCATTGTTATTACAAAATTTTCACTCCTTCGAGTTACAATTGTAATCAACAACCTAACTGCAAAATCCTTAAAGACAAAAAGACAATGATGTGATACCGACTAAAGACCCTTCGAGAGTCACAGTAACTCGTATAATTTTGAACCAAAGAATTCTACTTAGAGCTCAAAGTATTGCGTGCCTTGGATTGTTCATGAACGAGGTATTTATACTAGTAATTAAGGACTCCCAAGTCCTTGTTTAAGAGGAAGCATGTAAACTTACTCGTTTGCATTCCAATATCAATGAGGAGGAGGAAACAAGATCTGGTTACTTTAGGAGCGATTCGTAGTAGATTTTTCCTTTCCTTTTTTCATGTGTTTCCATTAATATCTTTCCCTTTAGCAGACAAATTCTCTGGCATAGATAGTAAAATAAAATATATAAAAATTCAATTTTATAATTAACTTTACAAAATCTGAAATATCGCAAGGTAATTAATTATAAGTTAAGGTTTGCATATTTACTTACTATGAATAAGAGTTACAATCATTGTGATTCTTTATTTCTTTTCGTTTACTAAAACATCGGTATTGGAAAAAGTGAGGGTTCCTTGAAAATCACGAATCAAATAAGTTGTGGGGACTAGTTGATCACATTCTTATTCATCTTTCCGTTACTTGATTCATAACTTCTCCTATTCCAAGTAAATAAACAGAAGTAGAACACAATAGGAGGAAAAGAACACATCAGTATTTACGTACGCAGTTCAGCGACCATCTGTTTCATTGCATATTTATATAAAGAATCGAAATCCAAATGAGCAGTGCGCAATTTGAAAGATTAAGCTTTTACATATTCTAACATAGATATGTTGATCAAACTGTTGTTTTTCTTTCTTGGAATTTTCAGAACATCGAAATTATCAGTTGGGTTTGTTCGTTCATGTTATTTCGATTTTCAGAGTTAAACGCTTTTCTAATTAAGTTACGCTATGTTTGGATGTTTGGATGAGGGAAATAAACTTGGAATTTGGATAAAAGTCATAATTTGTAAATTGACATGCACGAATTCTCTTGTTTGGATTCATAAACATAGAAATTTAGAATTTCCGCATGGAAAAAAAAACTTGGAATTTGGGACCTCAATTCCCAAGTTTAAATTCCATATACATAGGTGTCATTTCCCAATTTCTATGATTGAGAGCTTAAAAATAATAAATTCCGTATTCAATTACATTGTTCTTTTAGGCTAATCAAACAAGAAAATTCACAAATTCTAGAAAATAAAATCCAATCAATTCAATTTCCATCATTTTAAAATTCTTTGGTAATCTTAAATTTCTTCGTCCAAACATAGTGTTCATGATGGGGATTATATATATAGTTAAGACATTGTGATCTCTACTTGTTCTGCAATGTGATTCTCCTGACCTTGAAAACAAGATGACAGCGGAGAAGAACTAGAAAATGAAGAAATGGCAAAAGAAAACGAAGTGGAATAATAATACGTATGATGAGAAGAAGCAGCTGCAGCTTCCGAAAGAGCAACATGGAGATCCACAAATGCTGCCACTATAAGCCATGATTCTTCTTTGGGTTGACCTTCAAATACCATCCTAACAGCTCCACCAAACACTCCCAATCTTTAAGCGCATGACATTCCACCATCTCCTCCATTGACCTCCTAAAGTCTTTCAACCGATCCTCCGATTCCATGCCGGCTAACACCACCACGTACTTTTCCTCCAACGACGGATTCATCATCTCTCCTCCTCCGCCGTCTGCTTTCACCTTGTCTACCATACCTACCATGCAGCTCGTGTCTTCCGGCTCGAAAAACAGCCTCTCGGATCTTGCCCCTCGGACCACCACCATATCCTAGGACTCCTCCCAGTCCTCATCAGACTCGGTTGGTGATTGATTATCTGAGGAGGAGGAAGAGTTTGCTAACCAAGACTGATCAGCTCCTCCTTCCGTTCTTGGATCGAAGAAGCCGGAGTGGTTGCAAGAGGGCCAGTCCTGCCATGGCACTGCCGACGTGGCTGCTAACGTTGTCGTTTCCTTGTTTTTTAAGAGACAAGCAACTTCATTGGAATCCAATCCAAGACGTCCGTCCGAGCTTACAAAATTGGTTGGGTTTGATTGGGATTCTGGGATTTTTGTTGTGAAGGTATCAGGTATGTTAGCCTTTTTTTTTTTTTTTTTTTTTTTTTTTTTTTTTATGGCATTGATAATAGTGTGATAGATCATATATAGAGGTTACAATAAGAGGAGATGAGTGATATTTAAAAAAGGAGAGTAAAAGGAACATGGAGAGAACATGGGTGTATTTAATTGTTGGTTGGATGCTCCAAGTTTGCTTGATTGTGGTCACGGGTAGAGCAAAATTCATTATAGCCTTTCCGAGCCCAGAAGATGTGGATAATCGTGACTTGCCACCGGTTATCTCTCTTTTTCTAAAAAAAAAATAAATAAAATTGTTGGTTTGTACAATATTGAATGGTGTTCAATGCCTTCCCCATCAAAACAACTCAACCAAAATAAACTGATTTTTACCCACTTTTTTAGCCTCTTACACACACCTATATAACCATGGCATTTTATTTCGTTTGATTTCAATCCGATGAAAAAAGTATGAAAATCACCTCTCAACGAATATTTTATGGTGGATACTCTAAGATTTTTAACTATTAGATCTTGATTTTAATGTTTTTGACCAAAGATCTAATGGTTAAAAAGTCAGACTTTTGACCACGAACACTTTTGTCAACATCTTTTGATTTGATATTTCAGACTTTTTGTAGACATTTCCAAGTTGGCTAGAGGATTGTGCTCCCTCTTCTCAACCAACTCAAGTTTAAGTTCCTTTTTCTGTAATTTAAATTAAGCTAATTAGAATTTTTCTCGAATAAAAAGATTTTATTTAAAACTTTTCATTCTATAGCATAGCCAGTATAAACTACTAATCGATATTATTAGTGGTGGATCTTGGTTCTCTGGGCACCTTACTATTATTCATAATGTGCAAAAGTTGGCGTGTAACTTCCAGTTTGTCTCGTTTTGCCATACCTTTCAGGAAACTTTGTAACTGATGCATTGGCTTTTATGGGTCAGTCGTCTCATGTTCCTGCTGTTTGGGATCGCTCTGCGCCTAGTGAGGCAAGAGCGGCATGAATTTGGGAGTTTGTTACTTAACATCTCCATATGAGGAAAAAAAAAGTACACATGATAATACATTATTAGACTAGAATGCCACGTGACAGTGAATATATTGCATGTAAGTCTTTCTCCAACGTGCCAGCTCAATAAAAATTCATTTGAGGACTTGGAGTTGGACACAACAATTAAGAAAAGAACAACGAATTGTCTAAACTTGAAATAACAAAACAAAACCTAATTGTCATTTCTGTTCAAAACATGAAAAAATAAAATTAAAACTTTATGTTCTGTACAAAAGAATCATGATATCAATAGTAATGACGGGGGTTCTTCTCCTGAAAAATGCATTCCAGCAATCTAAAACTTCTTCAACCTCACTGTTTTAAATGAAGCTATACAGTATCGGAACCAGCATACATAACGCCTGTATGTGCATTAGCACGCCATAACCTTTGTCCATAACACGATTTACAAACGGGTTCTATCGTTTAGACTATCCTCGTCATAGTTTCATCACCATTTATTCTACTAGCAAACTCCATATCATCATCATCACTTTCTAAATCTGAACTTACATCTAAAGTATGAAATGAGCTCCAATTAGGTGGGAAGGTCTTCTGCAGGGCTTCTGTAAGCTCCCCTCCTGTTGTTTCAATCTTGCGTAAGCACCTCGACCAGTAAACTGCAGTTCCCATATCTGTTAGTGTTTGTGTGTTTTTGATATGTATTTCAATGGAGGTTCTTTGCAATGGTGGAGAGAGTTTTTTTTTTAGAGAGAAAATGATGGAACTATGTCTCTTCAAATTTCATACTCTGCACAAAATACATTTTTAACCGTTATTTGTGGAAAGGAAGGGAGATCCTTCACTCACCAACACACAATACAATCTTAACCATTCATTGCTATCATCCTATGAGATCATGCCACTTGTCTTATTCTACTACTTAGGCTAGATAAATGATTAAGTTGCCATGTGGACTATGATCTAATGGCTCACATTCAAACTGAGTAGCTCCCTTAGATACACAAATCGATCTTTAGGCAAGGCTTTGGTAAGAATGTCTACAATCTGCTCCTTAGTCCTGCAGTACATCAGTTCAATTTCTTTGGCTTGAATTGCTTCTCAGATGAAGTGAAATTTTTTGTTGATGTGTCTTGTCTTTTGATGAAAGACTGGATTCTTTGCCATGGCAATGGCTGATGTGTTATCACACATAATCTAAGTTCCTTCTACTTGTTCGTCTCCAAAATCTTCAAGAACAAATCTCAGCCATTTTGCTTGAGAGGTAGCTTCTGCGACACTAACATATTTTGCTTCTGCAGTAGACAAAGCCACAATGTTTTGTTTAATTGAAACCCATGAGAATACACTAGATCCTAGTGTGAATGCATAACCTGTAGTACTTCTCATATCATCCTCACTTCCAGCCCAGTAACTATCACAATAGCCAATTAGGGTAGTTGCTTTTCCCCTTTCAAAGACAATACCAAAATCGATTGTTCCCTGGATGTATCTCAGTACCCTCTTAGCTGTTCCCATATGCTTCTTAGTGGGATTTTTATGCATGAACCTTGCCAATAAACTTGATGCAAACATCACATCAGGTCTAGTTGCAGTCAAATAAAGCAAACTTCTAACAAGCTGCCTATATTCTCCTTCATTCGCAGCTTCACTTCCATCAACTTTGCTCAACCTTTCATTCATTGCAAGTGGAGTAGCAACTGATTTGCAGTCTTTCAGACCAAACCTCTCAATTAGCTTCTGTGCATATTTCTTTTGGTGTATAAAAATACTGTTCTCAGTTTGTAGCACACCCATTCCAAGAAAGTGACGTAATAAATCCAAATCAGTCATCTCATAGTGTTTCATCATGTCATTTCTAAATTCTTCAAGCATTTGTGGACTGCTACCAATGTATACAATGTCATCTACATATAGGGAGACAATAATAATACCTGAGTCCTTCCTTGTCTTAACATACAAAGCTGCCTCACTTGAACTCTTCTCAAACCCTGAACTATTGAAATATGCATTAATCCCATCATACCAGGCTCTTGGTGCCTGTTTCAAACCATATAGAGCCTTGTTCAGCTTGTACACCTTTGTTTCTTCACTTTCCTTCACAAAGCCTTGAGGTTGCTCAACATACACTTCTTCTTTCAATACCCCATTGAGAAATGCAGACTTTACATCTAATTGATACAAGTTCCATTTCTTCTGTGCAGCAAGATCAATCAAGGTTCTAATCGTGTCCAACCTTGCCACAGGGGTAAAAGTCTCATTATAGTCAATTCTGGGCTTTTGTGAATAGCCTTTAGCCACAAGTCGAGATTTATTCTTCTGCACAGTACCATCCAGATTAAGTTTGGTCTTATAGACCCATTTAACACCAATAACAGGCTTGTCATATGGTCTCTCAACAAGCTGCCATGTGTTGTTCTTCTCAATCATGTCCAATTCAGCTCTCATTGCACTCATCCATGAATCATCCTTAGCTGCATCATCATAACTTTCTGGTTCAATAACGCACATGTTACATTTAGCCATGATCTCATTTATGCTTCTCCATTTCTTAGGTGTATCATCATATGCTTGAGATCTATCAGACACATTCTCACTTTAAGAAACATTATATTCCTCAGACTGAGAGTTTTCACCAATCTCACAGATTTCATTAGCATCCTTACATTCAGTGATAACTGGAAATGTCACTCCAGTATTTGTAATGCAGTTCTAATCCCAAGAATCATTCTCATCAAATGTGACATCCCTTGAGAGAATAATCTTTCTTGAAATGGGATCAAACAATCTGTAGCCCTTCTCACTTGCACCATAGCCTACAAAGATGCATTTATGACTATTTTCCTCTAACTTGTGTCTAAGATTAGAAGGTATGTGCACATAGCAAAGTGAGCCAAATATCTTCAAATGAGCTATTCCAGGTTTCCTTCCACTATGCCTCAAATGGTGTTGTCTTTCTCAAAGCTTTGGATGGACATCAGTTAAGCAAATAAACTGCAGTATTAATTGCTTCTGCCCAAAACATGTATGGACGGTTCTTCTCATGTAGCATTGACTTTGCCATTTCCACCACAGTCCTATTCTTCCTCTCTGACACTCCATTTTGTTGAGGAGTGTAGGCCATAGTTAATTGTCTCTGGATTCCTAGATCACTGCAGTATTCAATAAATTCTGCATAAAGAAATTCTCCTCCTCTATCACTTCTGAGACATTTCACTTTATATCCACATTGTAGCTCAATCATTACCTTAAACTTCTTAAAGCATCCAAATGCATCCGACTTATTTCTCAGAAAATACACCCATGTCATTCTAGTGCAGTCATTTATAAACAACAAGAAATACTTGTTTCCAGAATGAGATTCAACTTGCATTGGACCACAAATATTTGTGTGAATCAACTCCAGTGGATCCTTAGCTCTCCAAGTCGATTTAGAGGGGAATGAGTCCCTGTGTTGTTTGCCTAACATGCACCCTTCACACACATTTGTAAACATTTCTAACTTAGGCAATCCATGCACCAGCTTTTGTTCTTCAAGTAATTTGAGACTTCTTTCATGCAAATGACCCAATCGTTTATGCCATATCTGATAGCAGTGTGTGACACTTGCTCTTAGAGCATACTGAGTTACAGGCATCATTGTCAAAGGAAAGCATCTATTGGCAGTCATATGTACTCTTACTACCAAATTATCGAGTGACCAACCATCAAAGATGTTCACTACATCACCTCCAAATAGCAGATAATAGTCGTGTTCCATCATCTGTCATACACTGAGAAGATTTTCCTCAAGTTCATGAACAAGCATTACTTCTTGTATATGTTTTCTTCCCAATTTAGTCTCAATCACCAAGGTTCCCTTTCCTGCCACCTGAACAATTTCTCCAGTGCCCATTTTTACCTTAGAGGTCAAATTTCTCTGAACATTAACCAACAAACTCTCATCACCTGTCATGTGATTGTTACATCTACTGTCAATATACCATGAGTTATTGACCTTCACATCTGTCAC